GAGACTGCAACTGGGTGCATCAAAGAACGGATAGAAAAAATCCCTCATCGAAGCACCTAAGGCATTAAAAAACCCAGCGCTCCGTCTGGGTGTCTAGAAACTGAAATGGCAAGACCGAGGTTACCGTCTTCTACGGGCCACCAAGAGAACACCGAACCCAATCACAGCCCCCGACGATGGGGCGGGGATGATTTCAACAAAATCAGAACCGAACACTGGGTTGGCGATCTGGAAGACCTCACCCGGAGGATTATCTCCCGGATTCGCGTTTATGTCGATGATCTCCAGTGCGAAGGTACCGATCCCTCCACCAACCGTCCAATCGACACGACCGTGCGTGGCTGATTGTGATAGTTCAACAACATAGCTTCCCAAAAAGACTGGACCATTCCCGAGAGCAGAGGCCGCATCCGGTTGAATGAACGGCAAGAACACAACTTGGCCAAGTACAAGACCATCATGGTTCGCATCACCCCCATAACCAAAGTCATCAAAACCGAGAGCTTGCCAGTCGGATGAGCTGTAGCCATTTGCATTGACACTTTCAATGATGTTTGTCTCGCCAGTTGCATTTAGAGTAATCGCTGCACCGGTGATATGGGTTCCAAAATCGGCATCAGCGTAAACTGAGAGCGTGACTGAACTGGTGAACTGAGGGTTCACAATATTTTGGGATGCGACAATGCTGAGTGTTGCTGTCTGAGCCGCAGCGACTGATGCGAGCCCAGAGATTGATCCCAATATCACTTGTTTCTTTCTCATCTTTGATACCTCCTGAATCACATAAACAGTTATCACATATAACATACACCAAATTTATGACAATCACAAGCCCTATCACTCACCAAAAAAAGAAAGCACCCCGCTGATACACAACGGGGTGCCTTGAGTTCTTTGTATCCGATCTTGACCAGGGATCGGAATCAGAGACGCTGATTAGCGGCGACGGCGTCCGGCAACCAGACCACCGAGACCGAGCAGAGCGATCGATGATGGGGTTGGGATAACCTCAACTGTTGCACCATCGATGCTTGGGTTGAGGACCTTGAAGGTTTCGCCCGGAGGGTTATCGCCTGGGTTTGCGTTGACATCGATGAGCTCAACCATGAACTCGGTCATTGGGATCGCGCCTGCGGCCCATGAAACGACGCCTTCGGAGTTCGCGATGATGTCCACAGTGAAGCTGCCGAGGAACACAGGACCGTTGCCGAGTGCCGAAGCTGCGTCAGGCTGGATGAATGGGAGGAACACGATCTGACCAACGATCAGCCCGTTGTGGTTCCCGTCTCCTGCATCGCCGAAATCGTCAGCGCCGAGTGCTTGCCAATCGGTGGATGCGTACGCACCAGCGGTAATGCCGCCGACGACGCCTGCACCACCGGTTGCGTTCATGGTAAACGCTGCACCTGTGACATGGGTTGCAAAGTCAGCATCAGCGTACACCGAAAGGGTGATGGAGCTGGTCATGGTCGAATCGACCACTGCCTGCGAAGGCACGATGCTGAGGGTTGCATTCTGAGCTGAAGCTGCTGACGCAATGCCAGCAACTGCAGCCATAACGACTGTTCTCTTCATTTCTCTCTCCTTGAAAAAGGGGTTTCTCTCTTCTCTCTCTTCTCACGACGCCTGCACGGTACAGACGCATTCCCGTCAAAGGCAGAGACGGGTCATCCCAGAATAGACCGCTTGGTAGGGGGGTCAAGAAAATCGGTGGCCCGTTGCCTATTTTGACACAGATCAAACATAGCGGAAACACTCGATAATCACAAGATTGATGGAACTGTTTCTGTTCTTTTTTATCAGACTCAGGGTCTACTGGGCCGTTTAGATGTGGTTGTAAAAAGAACGCCCGCCCGGCGGACCGGGCGGGCGTTTGCATTTAAGCAGTCAGTCTCAGATCAATGATCTGTGGACTGTTGTCGTATTCGCTGCGATTAGCGGCGACGACGACCAGCGACGAGACCACCGAGGCCGAGAACAGCCATAGCGGAAGGTGCTGGGACGACGGTCACGCGAGCGGAACCGAAGTCAGGTGCAGCGATCTGGAAAGTTTCGCCTGGTGGGTTGTCGCCTGGGTTTGCGTTCACATCGATGAGCTCGAGTGCGAAGGTACCGATGCCACCACCGACGGTCCAGTCGACGATACCAGAGGAGTTCGCGACGATACCGACAGTGAAGCTGCCGAGGAACACAGGGCCGTTGCCGAGTGCGGACTCAGCTGCAGGCTGGATGAATGGCAGGAAGACGACCTGACCGAGGACGAGACCGTCGTGGTTACCGTCGCCACCGTCACCGAAGTCATCGAAGCCGAGTGCTTGCCAGTCGGAAGTGCCGTATGCGTTTGCGGACATGCTGTCAACAACGCCTGCACCGCCTGCAGCACCCATGGTGATTGCAGCACCGGTCACGTGAGTGCCGAAGTCAGCATCAGCGTAAACCGAAAGGGTGATCGAGCTGGTTGTTTGGGAATTGACCATTGTTTGCGAAGCGACGATGCTCAGCGAAGCGGTCTGTGCAGCTGCAGCGGAAGCAATACCGGCGACAGCAGCGAGCGCAATTGCGTTCTTCATTTCAAATCTCCTCATCTGGAAACAGTTAGTTGGATTTCGTACTGAAATACCTAGTTTGGAAACGAACGACTCGTTCCTGACCCGTGACAAGAGTAATCCAATTCCGAGGGGCATGCAAGGAGAATGTGTAATGGAAATCGTCAATTTTCAGGATTCGATCTCAATTTACCCTACCAAACCCCTTGAATGCCGTCAGAGCCCCACCATTTGGAGCTCAGAAAGGCACGGATTTGCCCATTCATACACAAAAATGACTCAACCCCGACGGATCCATTGCTCGATCGTGAAGCCGAACTTGTGCCGATCGTCTGCTGGATGCTCCTCTGAACAATCCAGTTTCCACCGATCAGGATCTATATACGGGAAATAGGTGTCTCCATCGATCTCACAATGCACCCGAGTACGCACAATCAGATCGGCAACATCCATTGCCTGCTTGTAGATCTCACCCCCACCGGCTATCCAGACGAGACCCTGCCCGAATCCGCCTACAGCTTGGTCAGCTTGGTGCGATGCATCGATAGCTTCTTGCAACGAACGGACAACTGCTAGCTGTCCAGGGATCTGACTATCTATAGACATCGACCTGGAGATCACGACATTGAGTCGTCCACCCAAAGGCTTCTCAAGAGTCTCAAAGGTCTTGCGACCCATAATCACTGCATGCCCCTTGGTGGTTCTCATGAAGTGCTTGAGATCCTCAGGCAAATCCCAAGGCAAATCACCTTCACGACCGATCACGCTGTTCTCACTGCACGCAACAATCAAACCCACACGAATCGAGTCGTCATTCTTTGGTTCATTTCCCATCCACCATCCTATTCAGTCCGCAGCGGCGTTAGCGGGCGATGAGTTGGACTGGGTTTTCGCCGTGGATGGTCCCGCGGCGCCAGCGGACTTGAACGGTGTCCCCAGCCTCATATCGCCCGAGCACACGGATCAACTCGTGAAGGTCTCTGGTGGCGCGTCCGTTGATGCCGGTAATGATCGATCCAAGTCGGAGTCCCGATCGCCTGCGAGCTTCTGAGGTCAGTTCTGTGATCACAACGCCGTCCCCAGTGCCGTTTTCAACTGAAATCCCGAGCGTCGCATCCAGATCGCTCCCTGTCTCGGCCACCTCCTCAAGATCAGCAACCCATGATCTGTAGCGTTCGTTGATCTGATCCATTTCGAGCCGCATTGTCTTTTCAAGTGCGAGGAGTCCGGTGGGATCCTTCGTGTAAGTCTTGCAGTATTCTTGATAGAATTCAGCGAGCTTGCGCTGATCTAGTAGCCACATCAGGATTGTTCGAGATTGAGCGTATCGTGCGAGCGGCCTGCGATTGGTGAAGGTCGGGAGATCCATCCGAGCGATCGTCTCGATCGCCGGGAGTTTGCGGACCCTGTGCAAGCGTTTGACCATATTGGTCCGCCAGGATGGGACAGGAACGAGCCGACCCCCCACTACATCAAAGTCCTCAACAACTGATGCGAGCCCTTCCTGGATCCATGGCGCGTGCTCTTGTCCCATCCGCGACATGTCCCGCCAATGCAGCACATGGACATACTCATGACGGAGTGTCGCACCTAAATCCTGAGCGACCAATCGTCGCTGTTGATGCTCGTAGGCGCCGCCAACACTCGAGATGCTGCCACGCACACCGGGACCAAATGTTTCCAGTGCCCATTTCGCGAACCCTCTGCGCTCAGGGAGTCCCACCATGACCCACGCGGAATCTTCGCTCCCTCCCGCGCCGTCGGTTGATTCAAGGCCGATCATGACCTCGCGGAGAACCCAATCCGTGATGAGCTGGAGTTCTTCGACCGCTTGGTCGGTCGAGACTGGATCATGAGCACTCACGATCTCTAGTCGGAAATCATCGAGCGTGCGGTGCTCCATCCTTTTGTACTTCACCAGCTCGTTCATCCGCGCCAGATCGATGTTTCGACGCGTCTGGATCGTCGCGTCCCATTGGGTCATGAGCTTGGTGAAGTAGTCGGTGTCTCTGAGTCGATCGAGATCCGGATCTCGCAGTAGCTGCCTGCGGTCTGTGAATCCCAGCGCCACCGCTCGTTTGAGAGATTGTTCCGCATACTTGAGCTCCCCCAATCTGCTCTGAGCCGCGGCGAGGTTGTAGTGACCCACAAAGCTCTTTGGACGCTGATCGATGAGTAGCTGCCAAATCTCAGCGGCTTTCTCCCACTGTTTGGCGTGCATCGCTTCGATGCCTCGGGATTCGATCTGGGACGCTGACTCAGTGCTTGCTTTGGGATCAGGTGCCCAACCTGCTGATTGTGTGGTCCCCAGCGTGAAAGTGAAAAGCATCGCGATAAGAACGATTTTGTGCATACCTCTCCATTCGGTCATTCCAGACGCTCCGTTCCACCGAATCGTTGTCTGATCACATACCATATCAGATCAACGATCTGACAGGACACTGGCCACGCACCATGCTGCTCGCACAAACCACTTCCATCGTGACCCAAGCGCCATTGCTCATTGTGATGGGGGCACTGCTCATTGGTTCGGCGATCGCGTCCGCTTCGGAAACAGCTCTGCTAGGTCTTTCACGCTCAAAGCGTGCTGTGCTTCGTGCTGAGCACTCGGGATTGGGGCTAATGGTCGATCGGTTGCTGCTCAACCCCAGACAACTGCTGCTGCAGGTATTGCTGCTCAACATGGTGATCAATGTTGGATATTTCATCACCACTTCGATCGTCACGCTCAACGCTGAGTCCACAAGCACGCGGATCATCATTTCCGTCGCTTCGCTGTTTGCGATCATTCTTGTTGGTGAGGTCTTCGCGAAGCTCTTTGCGGTTGCATCCCCAACACTGTGCCTGCGGATTGTGGCGCCGTTGCATCTCATCCTGAAACAGCCGCTGCGTCCGTTGATTACGATTCTTGAGCGGTACTTCATCCTCCCAGGGACGCGATTGCTTGTCCCTGGACCTCCGCCACCTCCAGGAATCACGGCTCAAGAAATGTCGGCGCTACTCGAAATGGGGACCAATGAAGGGGTGATTGATCAGTCTGAGCAAGATTTGCTCTCAGCGATCATCATGCTCTCCCAGCGCCGAGTCGAAGAGATCATGCGGCCACGCGTGGAGTTTACTTGGATCGATGCCGACGCATCACGCGACGAGGTCATCGAGGCGTGTTCACAATCAAGCGCTACCCGATTTCCTGTCTTCGAAGGCGGTCTCGACGGTACACCGATCGGCATGACGGATGCGAAGCGTGTGCTTGCGGGTGCTGATATTCGTGACACGCTGTCGCCGTTACTGTTTATTCCAGAACAAGCAACGCTTGATACGCTGCTCACGCAACTGCGTGACAACGCGCAGACGATCGCTCTCGCTGTCGACGAGCACGGCACGGTGGTCGGACTCGTCGCGCTTGCGGATATCGCGGATCAACTGCTCTCAGGAATCGCCGACGCGCCAACTACTGAAGCGCAAGAGATCCAGATGATCGGTCCGGGGACTTGGTCCGTGCCGGGTCGACTGGCCGTTCATGAATGGTCAACGCTGTTCAGCGGTTTGGGTACTACAGAGACCCTCACCCATTCCACGACACGCACGACTGCGAAAACTCTCGCTGGATTGATCATGCACGCGCTTGCACGCGTCCCGAAGGTGGGTGACCAGATCAATCTCGGAACTGCAACGCTGACGGTGCTCTCGATGAACGACCTCGTCGTCGAGACTGTTGAGGTCAAGCTGAAGCTGGATGATAATGACGAGGATTCACTACGGGGGGTGGATTGATGCCCCTCCATGAACTCGTAATCTGGATTTTGATTGCCTGCATTGGACTGATGGGCTCGGCGCTGTGTTCAGGACTCGAGGTCGGGTTGTACGCCGTCTCTCGTGTGTTTGTGCGTGTTCGATCGATTGATCAGCCCCGCGCTCAGCTGCTCCATCAACAGCTCGAGAAACCTGCGCCATTGCTCACAACACTGCTCGTGTACAACAACGCGTTCAACTACCTCGCGACGCTCGCCATCACGGCTCTGCTCTCAACAACCAACCTCTCCGAGACCCTGATCATCGTGATCCAAGCGATCGTGCTCACTCCGATCCTGCTGATCTTCGCGGAATCGATCCCCAAGGAACTCTTCCGATCCCGCGCCAATCAGCTCATGGAACGGCTCGCTCGCGTGCTCGCGTTCATGAAGCTCTCGCTCACGCTGATCCCGGTCACGCCGATCATCACATACATTGCCAACGTGTTATCCAAACTGATCGGATCCGATCTGACGGGATCGGTCCGCTCGGCGCGACATCACATGGCGGATCTGATCAAACATGCAGATGAACAAATCACGCAGTCGCAGACCGAGATGATCGATCGGGCGCTACAACTCAATCAGACTCCGATCCGCATTAATGCGGTCCCATTGGCGCGAGTGATCCGGCTGAGTGCCACTTCAACTCCTGACGAAGCATTGAATCAGGTCCGCAAGACCAATCACAGCCGATACCCGATTCATGACTCGGATGGAATGATCATCGGATGCGTAAAGACTATTGATTTGTACACAACCAATGAATCAACGATCGAGTCGCTCGTTCAACCAATTGCTCGTCTCAATGCGGAACTCCCTATGCGACAAGCGCTGACGAAGATGCGAGCCGCCAATGCGCAACTCGCGGTCGTCACTCGATCGGGTCAGGATGCAGGGATTCTGACTCGGAAGGACTTGTTATCTCCGTTGATCGCGACCACCCATGATTGGTAGGAATAGAAACTGCAATCGAGTAGTTGTTTGAGCGGGAGACCAAATCCATGAAGAATCACATCATCACTATCGTCCTGCTCGCGCTCGTCGCGTTCATCGCCACTCCGAGGATCGTCAGCCTGTTGAAGGGACCTGCGGAGACACCCACGATCTTCGCGGCAGGACTCACCCTCGATCAAGCGGTGGAGCAATCCGCAGCGACCGGGAAGCCGATGCTGGTGCTCGTCACAGCGGATTGGTGCCCCCCATGTCAAGCACTCAAACGCGGGGCGCTGATCGATCCGGAGGTCGCTCAGTGGGTCCAGGACAACATGATCCCGGTCTATCTTGAAGATGGTACGAATCCTGATGCGATCCGCATGCTCCCAGTCCGCTCCTACCCGACGACTCTGGTCATTCAGGAAGGCAATATATTGGGTCAGTTCTCAGGCAATATCTCGGCATCCAAGTTCCTTTCAAGCATCCAGGACCTTACATCCAAATCTTGATCAGCTGAACCCATCTCTACGAACAACTGTATAGATATAGGTATCTGGCTCCTGTGAGTGACCACTGGAGCTCTTGGATCGCATATCGTGGATCAACGAAAGGCATACGCACATGCAGAATCTTCGCGCCAACGCACTCGTTGCGACCCTCGCGGTTGCTGTTCTCGGCTCCGCGGTCGCGGTCACCACCAACGCAACCCGATCCACTGACTATGGCTTCTACGACCCCATCGTCGATGTCCACACAATGATCGAGCATCTCTATGTCGAGGAACCGACCGACAATGAGATCCAGATCGGTGCGATCAACGGCATGCTTGAGAATCTCAACGATCCATACACCACCTTTATCCCGGCGGATCTGGAGCGTGATTTCAACAAGGACATGCGCGGCGAGTATGTCGGGATCGGCGCCGAGGTGATCCTGCGTGATGGTTGGCTGACCATCGCGTCTCCAATGGACGACTCCCCGGCATGGAAAGCGGGTGTCATGGCCGACGACAAGGTCGTGAAGATCGACGGCGAATCCACATGGGGATATACGATCAACGACTCGATCGACAAACTCCTCGGCGAACCCAACACCAATGTGACGATCACTGTCGAACGCAACGGTGTTGAGCAAGAAATCACGATCACACGAGATCACATCAAAGTCCAAGCCGTGAAGGGGTTCATGCGCAGCGATGGCGGCGAGGGTCCTTGGCGCTATATCATCGACGACTCCACCAATATCGCGTACATCCGGCTGACCCAGTTCATCCCTGGCTGTGCTCAGGAGCTCAAAGAAGCGATCGAGACCGCGACGGCGAACGCGGGAGGCGAGCTCGAGGGTTTGATCCTCGATCTGCGTTACAACCCAGGCGGACTGCTGAATGAAGCTGTGGAGATTGCGGATCTGTTCCTTGAAGACGGCGTGATTGTGACCACAAAGGGCAGAGCACACGAAGATCGCTCCGAGAGTGCATCCAAAAATGGCACACTCCCGCATTTCCCGATGATCACACTCATCAACGGTAACTCCGCGTCGGCTTCCGAAATTCTCTCCGGAGCACTCGCGGATCATGGACGCTCCATCATCATCGGCGCTCGATCATTCGGGAAGGGATCTGTCCAGACGGTGCGCCCGCTTGAATCTGGCGCGGGAACGCTCAAGATGACTGAGCAGTACTACTACCTTCCTTCCGGACGCTTGCTCCATCGCCGAGACGATTCGACTGTGTGGGGCGTAGACCCTACGCCGGGCTATTACCTCTCGATGACCGATCAAGAGCGGATCAACATGCTCAACGCTCGCAGAGAAAACGAGATCCTCCACAAAGTGGAAGGTCCGGAACTCACGAATCGGGATGAGATTCTTGAGGCGCTCGATGATGTCCAGCTTACTGCTGCGGTCAATGTGTTGAACAACCGTCTCGCGACTGGAGAGTTTGCGCCAGTCGGGATTGAATCCAACCAACCCGATGATGCCGCGTTTGAGGAGCTGGTCGCACTGCGATTGCAAGAGGAACGCATCCTGCGTCAGCTCGAGCGGATCAATCGACGCGTAACCGCGATCGAGAGTGTGGTGAATTCTGATGAAGACCCGCTCGATCTGTGGGACGATGATCGTCAGGTCGCAGGTGGTCAGCTCATCGTTAAGGATGCGGAGGGGAATCTGGTTACCACGCTTGAGATCACTGGACCAAACCTTGAACGCTGGCTCATCGATGCAGATGTCAAGATATTGGACAATGATGACATCGAGGGCGGTCTCAATGGAGAAGGGGAACAGTGATTGTTCTGGGGATCGAATCCTCGTGCGACGAGACCGCCGCGGCTGTGATAGAAGACTCGACGATCGTGCGTTCGTCCGTCGTCGCATCGCAGACCGAAACCCATGCTGAATACGGCGGGGTGGTTCCAGAGATCGCCTCTCGTCTCCACGAGATCAACATCCTTCCCGTTCTCAAGCAAGCGATCGATGAAGCGGGTGTTGAGCTCGAACACATCGACGCGATCACAGTGGGACATCGACCTGGTTTGGTCGGTTCGTTGTTGGTCGGATTGTCAGCCGCGAAAGCGTTGAGCTGGTCACTCAACAAACCACTGATCGGCGTCGACCATGTGCATGCACACCTCTACGCACCATTCCTTGATGCTCAAGATGTACCAACTTTCCCGGCGTTGGGGCTCGTGATCTCTGGAGGTCACACCTCGCTCTATCGCATGGACTCCCCTACCAAACTCACACGCTTGGGCGCCACGATCGATGACGCGATCGGAGAAGCGTTCGACAAAGCAGCGTCAATTCTGGATCTGCCATATCCCGGCGGTCCGCATATCGACAAGCTCGCACAAGATCCAGATGCGAATGATCGACTTGTCGATTTCCCAATCTCAAGACTCGGGAAGGACTCGCTGGATTTCAGTTACTCGGGATTGAAAACAGCGCTGTTGTATGCCGCGAAGGGAAAGCCCAATCCGCCCAAACTCCCAGGAAAACCACAGCGGATCGCGGAACCTGCTCCGGAGCTGACAGCGGATCGTGTTCGTGATCTCGCGGCGAGTTTCCAGAGAGCCGCGGTCCGCGCCCTGACGATCAAAGCACAAAGGGCGCTGGACACGAATCCGGATCTCACTTCCATCATCATCGGAGGCGGCGTCAGCGCCAACACGCGTGTCCGATCTGAGTTTGCTCATCTCGCACAGGACAATGACTGCTCGCTGCATATCCCAGAGATGAAATACTGCGTGGACAACGCCGCGATGATCGGGGCGCTTGGATCGGTCATGTTCGAGGCTGGTCACTGCGATGATCTCACTCTCGCCGCGACCCCAACCACGGCGTGCTGATTCATGAAGTCCATCGATGACATCTTTGAGTCTCTGGATAAACCGATCGAGCGCGAGCCGCATCCGGCGGCGTTTTCACAAGACGAATTGCTCAAATCCTGCACGATCACAAAAGGCCGCGTCTCTGGCCCCGGCGGTCAGCACAGAAACAAAGTCTCGACGCACATCACGATCACGCACAATCCGACCAACATCAGCGCCCAAGCTGGGGAACGACGGAGTCCTGAAACCAACCGCAAGGTCGCGTTGAAACGGTTACGCTATAAACTCGCGATTGAGATTCGGATACCAGTCCCAGATGGTGACATCCGATCCGAACTCTGGCGCTCACGATGCAAGAATGGCAAGATCGCGTGCTCATCCAAGCATCATGACCACCCCTCGATGATTGCAGAGGCGTTCGATGTGCTCGATGCGTGCGGATTGGATACATCTAAAGCCGCAACTCGACTCGACTGCTCAGCTTCGCAGCTGATCAAACTCATCGCATCGCATCCTCCAGCATTCGTGCACCTGAACCATCAACGAGAGAAGCACAACCTCCATCCACTCAAACACTAACGATTACGGCTACTATCCCTATCCATGCCTGAACCGACCGAACGCCAATCCATCAAAGTCCAAGCGGAACGCACTGTCCTCGCGGCGGTTCGACTCCCGGAATCTACCTACGACCAGCGCAATCCATTCGGGGAACTCGGAGAACTCGCAAGGCAAGCGGGCGCGGTCGTTGTGGGTGAGATCGAGCAGCGTCGTGATCGTCCCGAAGCGGGTACTTATATGGGGGTCGGGAAGCTCGAAGAACTCAAGGGCGCGTGCGATGAACTCGATGCATCGACGATTATTTTCGATCACGATCTGTCTCCAAAGCAGATCGCGAACATCGAGAAGATCACAGAACGCAAGGTACTGGATCGGTCTGAACTGATCCTTGATATTTTCGCGTCTCGTGCTGTGTCTCATGAAGCGAAGTTGCAGGTCGAGATCGCACAGCTCGAGTACACCTATCCGCGCCTCCGCGCGATGTGGTCTCACCTTGAACGCATCGTCGGCTCTGGAGGCATCGGAGGCGTAGGCACCAGAGGTCCGGGTGAGCAGCAGCTCGAGATCGACCGACGATTGGTGCAACGCCGAAAGACCATCCTGCAACGCGAGCTCGAAGAGATCCAAGCACGCAAGCGTCGCGCCGTAGAGAAGCGCAATGTGGACTTCTACACCGTTGGATTAGTTGGATACACCAACGCCGGGAAGTCCACACTGTTCAACACCCTGACCGAAGGCGGCGCGTACGCGGATGATCGCGTATTCGCGACGCTCATGACACGCACACGCCAGTGGGACCTCGGAGGCGGACACACCGCGATGCTCAGCGACACCGTCGGTTTTGTGCGTGATCTCCCCCACCACCTCGTCGCGTCGTTCCGCGCGACACTCGAAGAAGCGATGCACGCGGACCTGATCCTGATCGTGCTGGATATTTCCGATCCATCAGTCGAGCTGCATTACGAGACCGTGCTCACGACGCTTGATGAACTCTTTACAGAGGTCGAAGAACGCGAAGCGAGGGAAGCGGAGCAGCACAAGCGGGATGGGAAGGAATACCACCACTACCAGCGTCCGGAGTATCTTGTGCTGCTCAACAAAGCAGACAAACTGACGGATCACGCGGACCTGCTGTATTGGCAAACGCGCGTCCCTGGTGCGATCGCGCTCTGTGCGCTCCCAGGAGATCCAGATGCTGAAGAATGCCCGCTAGGACAGGACGACCTGATCGCTCGCGTCAAGCGCCACTCCATCGGTCCGATCGCGGAGCTTGTGATCACAGTGCCGCTGAGTGATTCCAAGACGATCCACACGATCGAGAACCGGACCGAGGTGCTCGATCGCGAGTATGTGGATCAGTTTGTGAATCTGCGGACCAAGATCGGATCGCGCCAGCTCGCGCAGCTCCGCGCTCGCGGCGCGGACATGGTCGTCCACACTCCCGACGGCACGCTCGTCGAGAATCCATCACGCGCACGCGGTTGGACGGAAGATTCCGACTCGCCGTATGCGAAGAAGCTCGACTTCTGATCGCGAGTTTGAAGAGTCAACCAAAATTCCTTTGTTGACCATTCTTTCACATTTGCACGCGCTCAAATCGATGCGTTGTAAACCTCGCAAACCCAACACTTGCGCGCTGTGTTTTGATCGCGTAAAATGCGCGGCGCATTCTTGATGATCCCTGAATAGAAGCGTTGATCGAAGTGCTCTATCTTCAATCAACTCCCTTTCTTTGAATCAGCCACACACCTGATTCAATTTCTCACAGCACCCGGGCCGACACACCCCGGGTGTTGTTTGTTTTATGAGTGTGAAAATCGTTAGCTCAACGGATTCAACCACAACCCCGTCGCGAGCTTGGGATAGAAGAAGGTGCTCTTCTGTGGCATCAGCTCGCCCGCTCGCGAAATATCGCGCACGGCTTCCAGTGGGGTGGGACGCACGATGATCGCGACCTGGGGTTTCCCGCCGCCGGCGATGGAACTGCCGGTCTCTTCGCCGCGTCCCAGTGCGAGGACCTCGTCGATCGAGTGCGGGAATGCCCATTTGACGGGCTCGCCGTTGTTGAGCTCTGGGGAGCAGATCTCGTCGACGATCAGGTGCTGGATGATCGCGACGTCCAGGCTGCGCCATGCCTGGGATTGGTCTGGGAACTTGTCTTCGAGCGGATCGCTCATCGCGGGCCACGCGGCGAAGCAGAGTCCGGTCGCGTAGTCGTAGATCCCGAAGATATTGGTCTTCTCACGCTCGGCGAGGACGTTCATCTGCGCAAGGAAGGTCGAGGGGGTGTTCTCGATCGCTTCGATGTTGAGCAGTCCGGCGCTCGCTTGCTGGAACGCGTCGATGTCGTAGTCCGCCATGCCTCCAAGGACACGGTGGGTCGGTCCGATCGCGAGTCCCGGATCGTTCATGGACACGAGCACCATCATTGTTCTACGAGCAGGATGGTCCGCGGAAACATCTCCCAGTGACTCGAGGTAGTTGAGCGCGGTGTTGTATCGGTGGTGACCATCAGCGACGAATATGTCTTCGCCTGCGAGAGCTGAGGTGTACGCGCTGAGGGTCGCGTCGTCTTCTACGGCCCAGATCTCTTGCTTGACGCCGTCGCTCATCTGCGCGGTCATATCGGGATCACGTGATGCCATGACTTCGCGGACGATCTTGGTCGCTTCGCCGTCTTCGTCGGGATGGAGTCCGAAGATCGGGGAGGTCTGGCACTGGGTTGCTTCCATCAGCGCCTTGCGGTCTTCCTTTGGACCTCCGAAGGTCTGCTCGTGCGCGAGGATACCGCCGCCTTCCCGATCTCCGAAGGGGACTGTTTCCACGGTCGCGACCATGCCGCAGCGTTCGAAGGTCTGTCCCTCGAACTCGAAGGTCTGACGGTACGCGAACATCGCAGGGGTCTGGCGCTGTGAGAGGGTTCCGGATTCGAGCATCGAGCGGTAGGACGCCGCGGATGCTTCGTACGCTTCCTTGGGCCCCAGCTCCTTCGCGGGGACATGGGGCAGGTCGATCCCGACGATGTTGTTGGGGTCTGCGTCAAGCATCGCTTGCTTCTGGGACGCGTCGAGCACGTCGTATGGGGGCGCGATCACTCCTGAGACATCTCCAGAGCCGTTGTTGTATTGAACTGCGCGAAATGGGAATACAGCGGGCATGGGAGAGGTCCTTTCAGCTCGACATGCGGAGATTCAAACAAAGCCGACCCGCTCCAAACTGGAGTGTCCTTAGGGTCGGCCCACCCGATCATACGCCCGATTCCCGACCTACGATCAACCATGACCACCCACGCCAATACTCCTCGGGCCCTCGTCATCCGTACCGCCGGCACGAACTGCGACGCTGAGCTCGTGCGTGCGTTCCAAATGGCGGGCGCGACCCCCACTTCCATCCATCTCGATGTGCTCTGCGAGGACCCAACGATCCTCGAATCCTTCGATCTCATCGGATTCCCGGGTGGTTTCTCCTACGGCGACGACATCGCGTCGGGACGCATCAAAGCGATGCACGCGCGTCAGCACCTGCTGCCGCAGCTCCGAGCCGCTCGCGATCGTGGGGTCCCGATCATCGGCATCTGCAATGGGTTCCAGGTCCTCGTCCAGCTCGGATTGCTTCCCGGCGATAGCGACAATCCGTCGATCGCGCTGTGCCAGAACGAGCACGGGCGGTTTATCGACGATTGGGCCGTGATGGAGATCAATCCGAGCTCGCCTTGCGTCTGGACGCAAGAGCTCGCGAGCTTTGATGATCCGGAAATCTGCCGATTCCCCTACGCACACGCCGAGGGGCGGCTCGTGCTTGAGGACAGCTACCAGATCAATCCGAATCTGGTCGCGCTCCGCTACCAGACCAACATCAACGGCTCCCACGATCGCATCGCGGGAGTCTGCGATCCGAGCGGACTGGTCTTCGGACTGATGCCCCACCCTGAGCGGATGCTGGACTGGAACCGTCATCCCTACGCGACGCGATTGGATGCTCAAACCAAATCGGGACCGACTCCGGGACTGAGTATCTTTACGAGTGCGGTGAACGCGGTACAAAACCATGGGGCCGCGGTATGAACGGGCGTGCGGTGTACGCGGGGAGCTTTGATCCTCCGACCAATGGGCATGTGTGGATGATCGAGCAGGGCGCTTCGCTGTTTGACGAACTCATCGTCGCGGTCGCCAAGCACCCTGAGAAAGAATACACCTTCGACATCGAAGAACGGCTCGGCTGGCTCCAAGAGATCGCGGATCGGCACGACAATGTCAAAGTCGCTTCGATCCAGAACGAGTTTCTCGCACATTATGCGAAGCGCGTGGACGCACGATTCGTCATTCGTGGGATTCGTCATGAAGACGACTACCAGTACGAACGAGGGATGCGCTATGTGAACTCGGATCTGAATCCGGACCTGACGACTGTGTTTCTCATGCCTCCTCGCACGTTGTGCGAGTTGAGTTCGAGCTTTGTCAAAGGCATGATCGGTCCCAGCGGCTGGGAGCCGGTGGTTGAACGCTATGTCCCGAGAGCGGTGTTCGAGCGACTCAGCAAGTACCACGACGAGCAGCTCAACGCATGACTATTTCCTGGAGTCCCGATGACCTTTGAACGCGACCATGCCAAACCCGAAGCGGCGCTGACCGACCCCATCGTCGCGATGCGCGTCGTCGCGATGCCTCGCGAGACCAACCCCTACGGCACAATCTTCGGCGGGATCATCCTCAGCTATATCGACCAAGCGGGGTTCGTCGAAGCGCGTCGACACGCTGACATGGCGTGGGTCACCGCGGCGGTGGATCGCGTCGAGTTCCACGCGCCGGTCCATGTCGGGGACATCGTCAACTACTACACCTACACCACTCGGCTCGGACGAACGAGCTTGGATGTACGAATTGAAGTCAGCGCCGAGCGATTCCATACGCATGAGATCGTGCATGTAACGACCGCGAATATGACACTCGTCGGTATGCGTGACGGCAAACCCTTCCCGTTCCGCGAATGTGCCGAGCGTCCGGGTGAATGCAGCAGCAAGTCCGGATTGACCTGATATGAGCAATCGCGCCAGAGCGAATCTCGCGGTGCTGCTTTCCGGAAGCGGCAGAACGCTTGAGAATCTGATCGAGCACATCGATCGGGGTCTGCTCGATGCGAACATCGCTGTGGTTGTTGGTTCGCGTGCGTGTCTTGGTGTTGAGAAAGCGGAAGCCGCGGGATTGCCCGCGATGGTTTGCGATGGTGGGATCAATGCGGACGAGCTGGACCGTGTGTGCAATCAATACTCGATCGACTGGGTCGTCCTCGCGGGATACCTCAAGCTTGTCCCGATCACCGATCGCGTGCGCGGACGCGTGATCAATATCCATCCCGCGCTGCTCCCGAGTTTCGGTGGCAAGGGCATGCACGGCATGCACGTCCACCGCGCCGTCCTCGAAGCCGCTGAGCGAGGCGAGGTCAACGAATCGGGATGCACAGTCCATTTCGCGGACGAGGAGTTTGATCAGGGGAAGATCATTGAGCAGCGTCGCTGTCCAGTATCCACTGACGACTCTGTTGAACAGATCGCAGCTCGGGTTTTTGATCTGGAATGCGAATGCTTGCCGAGCGCATTAGCTCAGGTATTCAAGAGTTGTTGATTAAATATCAGAATCGTTCGGATCGTAAGTCGGATCGAGCTGTTCGATGAGCCGTTCTGTGTAGCGCCACGCGTTGAGTGTGGTGCGGATGGTCTGCTTGATCTGCTCATGCTCTGATTGCGGATGCACTGCGAGCGAATCGAATAGGTTGGTAATCTCTTCGATCGTCCGCTTGCGTTGATCGTCGGCCCACTGCTGCCAGCGAGGTCTTGCTTCGTCGGGATCGAATTCGAGTTCCTCTTCGATCTGCGAGCGGAGTTGCATCATCTCCATCAGGAATCCATCAGGGAGCGTCGTGTCCTTTGACGATGGACCATCGACAATCTGAAGCATCAAGTTGGCGCGGGACTCGTCGTTGAGCAGCGCATCGCGTGCGTTGTTGAGCGTTGCGGGATCGAGCGGATCGATTTGGTCCGTTTGCCCCAGATCGGGGTGGTTCGCTCCGAGTCGCTGGAAGTACGCACGCTGGATCTGATCATGCGAGATCGAAAAACTTGGCTCAATGCCGAGGATTTGGAAGGCGTTGGTTGAATTGTCCGTGTTGGGTGTCATGGATGGAAGTGTAGGATTGACAGTGAGCGGGATTTCTGGGATGATGTGGTGTCCTGGTCTATTCGATGGGACGCATCCCACTGTGTGTGCTCGTGGATTGAAAGGACTTGATCTTGACCAAGCACATCGGCATCGTTGCGGTGAGCCCTGAAGGGGCGGCAAGCTGTTATCGGCAGTTGTTCCGACACGCGTCGGTCAAGCTCCCGGCGGATAGGCATCCTGTGGTTTCGATCTACAACATCCCGCTTGCGCTCTATATCCAAGCGGTCCGAAGCGACAACTGGAGACTCGTCGGACAGATGCTTCGTGAGTCCGCCCAAAAACTTGCTGAGATCGGCGCCGAGTTCTGCTTTACTCCCGACAACGCGGTCCAACACGCTGTGCAGCTCGCGGATGTGAGTTCCCCGATCCCTTGGATTAAAATGACCGATGCGGTCGCGGATCAAATCGCACGAGATGAACGCAAGGTCATCGGCGTGATCGGCACAAAGTATGTTACCTCTGGATCCGTCTATCAGACCGATCTGGGGATGAAGGGCATCAAACTCGTGCGCCCAAGCGATGAGGATGCTGAGATACTCGACACAATCATCTTTGACGAACTCATCTACGGCGCGATCTGCGATGACTCACGCGCCAAGGTCATGGATGTCGTCGATCGGATGGTCGAGAAAGGCTGTGAGGGATTGATCCTTGGATGCAGCGAAGCGCCGCTCATGATCTCCGCACAGACCTCCCCACTGCCACTCTACGACGCGTCAGACATCATCGCGGAGCGAGCGATGGACTTTGCATCGAGTTCGTAGCGTTCGAGTCGATGAACGACTGAATCTCATCCGCCGCGATCTGTGAGAACTCTGGGACTGTCCAGATGTTGTTGTGTCCGGCGCTGGGGATTTCGACAAGCGTCACACTCGGAGCGGCGGCTCGGATTCGCTGCGCGTCATCGAGCGGACAGACGGGATCGTCCGTGCCATGGATGACCAGCAGCGGGACTTGTAAGTCTTTCGCGATCTGATCGCGTGCGAATCCGTTCCACTTTGGCCCGACTCCTTTGAGCATACCCATCAGCATGATCGCGGGTTTGAGGTTAAGCTTCGTTGGGAGTCCGCGGAGGTTGATGACGTTACGAGCGGGAGTCTGCGCCTGGATATACGGCGATTCCGCGATCACCGCTCGGATGTCGTGCTGGTCTTTGTAGTCGCGTGCGAATCGGAGTGCGATCCCCGCGCCCATCGACCAGCCGTAGACGATGGTGGGTTTGGAATCATCCAATGATGAGAGAAGTACATCAAGATCGGTGTGTTCTGTCGCGCCCATCTGTGAGGTGCCGGTTGACTCGCCGTGTCCTGGGAGATCGATGGTGATGATCTCGCTCGCGTGATGCGCAAGATGTGGGATGCGTTTGAGAGCGCCGATCGAGGACGATCCCCAGCCGTGGACAAGCACAAGGCGTGGCGCCTCAGGATTATGAGCGGCTACCTTCCAAGCGTTGAGGGTTCTGTTGTTGGACTCGATATCGAGCGACTCAAAGGGGAGTGTTTCGTCGAGCTCCGAGGGATCACCCGGAACACCCCGATGCAGCGCCCACGCATATGTCCGGCGAGGCGGATGCAGCAAGGACCATGCTGTGTAAACAACCGCGACAATCCACGCACCCAGAGCGCCGATCGAAAGAAGCTGGAGCAATCCGAGCCAAGCGGGCATGGATCAGAACCCGATCAGTGACTTGATGTCGTTGAAGGTCACGAGCAGGAACATCGATCCGATCAGCAAGAGCCCCGCCATGGTTACGGCGTTCTGGACCGGGATCGGGATCGGTTTGCCTCGGACCCATTCGTAGATCAGGAACAGGAACTGTCCACCGTCGACAATCGGGAGCGGGAGGAAGTTGATCACGGCAAGGTTGATCGAGATGAGCGCCATGAAGAACAAGACCTTGATGAATCCCTCGTCCGCGATGAGCGTTCCGATATGCGCGATTCCCACAGGTCCCTTGAGGTGCTCGACCTTGACGGTGCCTTGCGTAAGACGCAGGAAGGTGAGGTAGGTCTGGAGCATTACTCGGCGCGACTCGTGGATCCCTCTCTTCACGGCAGCAACTGGAGAGGTTGCTTTGTCGATCTGTTGGACAGGGAGGAACAGCGTTGACATGTCCGCGCCGCCGGGCCAACGATGGGTGAGCGTTTGCAGGTGTTGCTTCTGCGCTTCTGTGAGCACAATGGTTGCTTCTTGTTGCGATGATTCGTCATAGGTGGAATAGAGGACAGTCGAGCCGAGACCACCACCACTGAGCAGCGCGTTGGCGAGCTCGCTCACTGATGAGACTTGTTTGCTATTTACGAACTGAATTTTGGCACCGTTTGGGAGTGAGTGACCAATCTCATCACCAACACTCTCAGAGTGTGAAATGTAGGGGAGGTCGTATGTGGTAGTATCCGGATAGAATCCGACGCGACCATCGTCAGACACCTGCACGGCTAGATCGATCAGCGTTTCATCTCTCAGAACTTTGATATCGATGGGCCGTCCCGCGTTCTCACGGATCGTACGGATCGCCGTATCAAGCGAGGGGTACTCGACTCCCGCGATGACCACAAAGATATCCCCCGGCATCAATCCCTGCTTGGTGTCCTCGATCGTCACATCAGGATGGACGCGCATGAGTCCTGTGAGTCCGAAGACATGATCGATCTGGAGTGACGTGCCTTCGATCTCTACGAACTCGGTCATGAGTTCTTGTTGTGTCGGGATCGAGATCTGCGATGATTCGCCCTCTGGATTGGCGTATTCGATCTCGAGTTGACTCGCACTCGAAGCGATCTGCTGAATCTCAACAGTGTTGGATACAGCTTGCCCGTTCACGCTCAGGATTTGGGACCCCGGCGGGATCTGATCGAGACCATAGTTGTCCGCGAGGAGTCTCCAGGTCCGCAGATCATCCGTCAGAAGCATCTCCGTTGAACGCAGCGGTGTAACTCCAAGATCCAGCAGCCCCAGCTGTGCTCCCGGCTTGAGGTCCGCGAGGTACTCGATCGGTTGATCACTCCCCTCACGCTGGATCATAATCGAAGCTGGTTTTGACGCTTTTGACATCGCGGCTTCAGTAGCAATGTCTCTGAACGCGACGATCTCTTTGCTGTTGATCGACAGCACGCGATCTCCCGGCTGGAGACCGATCGTGTATTGATCGTCTACAGGAGTCGCGAGAGCCGCGGGACTCGACGGAAGCACCTGACCGATCGTCGGAGGCATGATCCGCAATCCAACAGAGAACACAAGGATAAACAGCAACGCGGCGGTGATGACATTGACAATCACTCCCGCGCTGATGACCACGAGTCTTTTGGGGATCGGACAGTTCTGGTATGAATCCGGAGCCGAGGACACGGCGACGGGATTGAGGTCTTCCTGACCAAGCATCTTGACATACCCACCGAGCGGGAGCCAAGAGAGGCGGTACTCGGTTGGGGAGATGTCGAGCTTGGTGTGATCGCCGTCGTTTTCTCGAACAAGCTTCATGTACTCAGGTTCCGATGAGCCTGCCCTGAATCCCATCCCTTTGCGATACGAGCACGCGACCTGTCCGAAACCGATCGAGAACGCGAGCACGCGGATGCCGGCCCACTTCGCAGCGATGAAGTGCCCCAGTTCGTGGACAAACACGATGAACCCGAATCCGAGCGCGATGACGAGGAAGTTAAAGAATGTGCCGAGCGGTCCTGGGATATCGAACATGGGGTGCTCCGTGAGCGGTGTCTTTGATGCATCCTTGCACCAGAGTGTATCGGTCGGTTGGGCGGATGTTGTGGTGGTTTTCTGCCGATCACAGGAGGAATCAAAAAACCCGGTCTTTGACCGGGCCGAGGAGATCATGTGTTCACAGATTCTTGGTTTAGTCGTACTTCACGCTGCAGCCGTACGGCTTGGTCGTCTCTTTGGAAACAGAGTTCCCGGCAACAAGCTCGTTGAGCGCGTTCTCGACATAGTTGACATCACCCGGTGCCGCAGCATCGGAGCGGTTGTCGATCGCACCGTGGTACGCGAGGGTCTGGTCAGGGGTGATGATGTACATCTCTGGCGTACGCTTGGCGCCGTACTTCTTACCCGTCGATCCAGTGGTGTCCATCAGGATCGGGGACTGGATGTTCCATTTCTTTGCGTAGTCTTTGTTGTGCGAGAGATCAGCCGATGGATGTGCTCCGTGTGCTGAGTTGATTCGCAGCCAAACGACATCATTGTCCGCGAACTGTGCTTCGAGTTTGGTCATCGTCCCGGTGTCCTTGCGGTAGTGTTTCCGAACAAACGGGCAGTCCGGCGAATACCACTCAAGTACAACCGTCTTCCCAGCACTGGTGTAATCAGTCAGCGTGTGGGAATTGTCATTGAGGTCCACGAGCGTGAAGTTGGGGACGGTGTCACCGATCGACAACGCCGCAGCTGCGGTGTTTGTGGTGGTGCTTGTGTTCAGGTTCGCGGCACCCATCATGACTGCGGGAGCAGCAAGAGCGGCTGCGGCGACGGCGAGGATTGCGAAACGTTTGCGAGCTTTCATGGTTGAATCTCCTGCGTATGAGCTTTGAAACTCAGGGTTGGTGTTCAGTATCGATATTGTAATGACGCCAATCACCAGACGTTCTGATGCTCAAGCGTCCTGAGAGACGGATTGGGTCGGATGGATCGTCGTATGAACGATCGAATGTGATGGTCATCGAGCTGGACTCGATGTCGCCTTGCTTGATGAGGTCCGCTGGTTGAGTGCATTCATCGCTCGGGAAGAATCGGTAGTGGGTTGCGCCAGGAACGGTCAGCGTCGCTTGCTCGCTGCTCCACTGGATGTCGTACTCAACCAGATCCATTGGAAGATCCTTTGCGATTGAGAGGATCGATTGGTCTGGTTTTGGATCTGTCATGCTCGCAATCGCGATCGCGGTCGTCGCCTTCGCGGATTCAGGCAAGCAGTAATCTTTACAGATCAGGTAATCGATCGAAGCCGTGATAACGACATGCAGCGGCGCTGACGCGGCTTGTTCAACTTCCACTGGGATCAGCACGGCGATCTCATCTTCATAGATGTGATCCAGGATCGATCCGGGTGCGATGTAGCGTTCAGGAGTCGGCCAAACAGGTTCTCCAAACGACAGCGCCTGAGTGTTGGTTTCAAAGCTGATGGTCGGCGCGTATCCCGTATCACTCAGACCGTCCCAGTAAGTGTGCCATCCTTCGTCAATATCGAGGTCAAGCGCAAGGTAGAACTGATCCCCGGCACTGAGCGTCTGGTGAGAAGATCTCAGAGTTACTGAGAGATGCTGCTCATCAAAGTTTGGCTGTACACCTGCGTACGACGACCCCGCGAGCATCATCGTGCTGCAGATCACGGATTTCGTCGTGTGGAGGGGGATGTGCATAGGATTCCACGGTGTTTGTGTACTGTAGACAACAACGCCTGTGCCCAATTATTCTTGCTTGGGTCAATGAAGGATGCAGTAAATGGCTCTGAATACTCGAATGTGGATGATTCTTGCTGGATTGACCCTCCTGACGCTCACTGGATGTCGTGGGAATGTTTCGGACAAGAAGATCGACTTTATTGATCTGAACCGTGCGATGGAACTCCATGACCAGTGGAAGGAAGACACCAACAAGGTACTGTTTATTGATGTTCGCAAACATGAACGATTCGCTGAAGGCCGAATCCAGGGTGCACGCAATATCCGCGTCAACGAGATTGATCTCCGCTACGACGCGGATCCGGAACTCCTCAAGTATGACCATCTCATTGTCTACGGAGAGAATCCTGGTTCCGCGAGTGCTCGCGCGATGGCGAAGCGCATGATCGAAGCGGGATACAACACGGTGCTTAAGACGCGCGTGCGATTGTTCCTCGGTGGTTGGGTTGTTTGGGACTCGACGGGTCTGCCGTACGATGTGGACATCACATATGAGTTTGGGGATGAGAATGAGGAGGACGAGTGATGGGTTTCGTACTACCTGACTCCCCCACTGTTGATGGGGTGATGGTTGACAGACGAGCCGCGTCGTTCACCACGCGCTCGATCAAAAAAGCATCCAAGCTCGCGGCTCTCGAACTCGCGGTCGCGATGATCGATCTGACCACGCTCGAAGGTGCGGACTCTCCTGAGAAGGTCCGGAGCTTGTGTCGAAAGGCAATCCGTCCTTGGGAACGCGATGAAGAGTTCTTAGGTCATCGACTCGGACATGTCGCGGCGGTATGTGTGTACCCATCCATGGTCCCGTATGCTGCGGAACTGCTCGACGGCACTGGGATCAATGTCGCGTCCGTTGCGACGGGATTCCCATCTGGACAGTACCCCCTCGATATCCGCATCCGCGATGTAGAGCGAGCGGTTGCTGACGGTGCTGACGAGATCGATATGGTGATCAATCGCGGCGCGTTCCTTTCCGGGAAGTATGAGGTCGTTGCGGAAGAGATCGCTGCCGTGGTTGAAGCGTGCGGCAAGGCACACCTCAAAGTGATTCTGGAAACAGGTGAACTCAAAACCTACGACAATGTCCGTCGCGCCAGCGATATCGCGATCGAGTATATCCGCGAGGGTGATTTCATCAAGACCTCGACGGGCAAGGTCAATCCCGCAGCGACGATGCCGGTCACACTTGTTATGCTCGAAGCGATCCGCGATGCGTATCGCACACAAGGCAAAAAGATCGGGATGAAACCTGCGGGCGGCATCCGCACTGGAAAGCAAGCATGGCACTACCTGTGCATGGTCAACGAAACCCTCGGCGAGGGTTGGCTGTCCCTAGACTGGTTCCGCTTCGGCGCCAGCTCACTGCTTAACGATGTCCTCCGAAGCATGCAGAAACTCCAGTCCGGCGAATACGCGGCGGGGCATGACTTCTCGGATGCGTAAGAAACTCGTACTCTTGCTCTTATTCGCAATGATCGCAGGTCTAACAACCTGTTTGATCTTTGTGTATCTACCTGTCACAGTACAAGAGTATTACACCTACAACCCTGATCAAGTTACTACTTTAACCAAAGAATCAGCCCCCAAGTACCTCGACGATTACTCCATAACTTACTCGAACGGAACCACATACACCCCAATCTACAAGCACTACAAACTCCCGTACCCTGACTTTGGAGTAGATATACAGGAGTTTGTTTATATTGATCCTGACACTCTGAACTGGACAGTTGATGGCGAACCACCTCAGGTTAACATAACTAGGCATCGGTTCGGGTGGCCGATGCGGGCAATGTATTGGGACCACATCGGAATTGTACCCGGCAACCGTCAGTCTTGGTTTAATGATTACTTTGACCTCACAGGCCCAGCCTTAGGGACACATGCCGGCATTCAAACCCCATCTTGGTGGGTGAACTCTCAGAATATAGAACGGCTACCTATCCGACCGCTGTGGATTGGAATCTTGATCAACTGTACGATTTTCGGATCGTTGTACTTTGGATTTACTCTATTACTTGGTTGGATGTTCCAAACATTCCGTTCACACAAGCGTAAAAGCTCCGGATTATGTGTTAGCTGCGGCTATGCCATTGAGGGGTTGAAAAAGTGCCCTGAATGTGGAGCAGGCAATGATTTCACTGAGTAACTCATACTTGTGTTTGCCACTCAAGCTTTAACAGAATTAAGTTACCAGCATGATGTCAAGCCGCGGCTTGATCTGGACCGAATCGCGCGTCGTATTTGCTGCGAAGCGACGGATCTCTCAGGATCGAATACGCTTTGTGGAGCTCCTCGAAGCGTGCTGGCGCTTCAGGGTCATCATTCTTGTCGGGATGCCAGAGCTTGACGAGGTGGTGGAACGAGCTGCGGATCTCGTCCTGACTCGCGTATTGACAAACACCAAGAATGTCGTAGAGGTTGATGTTGTGAACCGGGGTTGATTGTTCATCTGACTCTGAATCATCCGTGCTGTTGCTCATCAGTAACTCCCCCTGCACGGCGAGTCGAGTCAGCGCGTCGCGATGCGATGCGGGAAGATCAATGAACTCGATCCCGACCTCAGCTTTGCGTGTCAGCACTGACCCCTTGCGGATCCAACGCACGACACCCTCGACAGTCAGTTCGTGTTCTGTCTGCTTGTCCTTGAAGGTGAACTCGTGAGTCTCATCGACCTTGGGGAGTTTGGAGGGGGTGAGCGTGAGGCGCATGCCGTTGCCTGTGAGGTCCGCGACTCGTGCCTGGAGTGAGTCGAAGGTACAGCGGATGCCTTTGGTGTCGATACGCATGTCGGCGCGGGACATCACTTCGCCATCATCGCTGTGCAGTTCCACATCACTCCCATCCGGTGCGTGGTAAGGCGTGGTCAAACTCTCGTGCTGATTCTCGTCGCTGCTGTGTGTACCCATAAGTCTGTCAACGGCAGAAATCGGACGCGATTGGAACACGAAGCTGAGGTTCCTGCTCGATTTCCATCGTCTGGGGGTTACAGACTGCTCTCATGCGGATTTGGCACTAGAATACGGCATGAGCAGCGCGATGAATACCAATACAAGGTCCGATCATCCGACAGGCACACTCGATCTACGAGGCGCCAGCGGAGGCGGGATCTTCGACTATGACCCCGCTCCGGAATCCGTGAAGGTCAAGATCGATGATTCCTACGGGCTGTTTATTGATGGTCAGTTCAGCGGAGCGTCGGGTTCTCCTTTTGCGACCATCAATCCGAGCAACGAAGAAACGCTCTCGATGATCGGAAATGCGGATGGATCGGATATTGACTGTGCGGTCGCTGCAGCACGATCCGCGCTGCCGGGATGGAGCGGTCTCCCTGGGATCGTGCGTGGGAAGTACCTATACCGAATCGCTCGACGCATCCAAGAGCGTGCAAGAGAACTCGCGGTCCTCGAAACAATGGACGGCGGCAAGCCCATCAAAGAATCACGCGATGTCGATGTCCCGCTCGCCGCGGCGCATTTCTTCTACCACGCGGGATGGGCCGACAAACTCGAGTACGCGTTCCCAGGAAAGAAACCAGAACCCGTCGGCGTGTGCGGACAGATCATCCCTTGGAACTTCCCGCTGCTCATGGCGGCGTGGAAAATCGCGCCGGCGCTCGCTTGCGGGAACACCGTTGTCCTCAAACCCGCGGAGACCACTTCACTCACAGCACTCCGACTCGCGGAGATCTGTCAGGAAGTCGGACTCCCCAAGGGTGTCGTCAATGTCGTCACCGGCGCCGGCGAGACCGGATCAGCGCTCGTTAATCATCCGGACGTAGACAAGATCGCGTTTACCGGATCGACCGCGGTCGGGAAGATCATCGCGAAAGCAACCGCCGCGACCAATAAGCGTCTGACTCTGGAACTGGGTGGCAAGAGCCCCAACATCATCTTCGAGGACGCTTCGATCGATCAAGCGATCGAAGGCGTCATCGGCGGGATCTATTTCAATCAGGGACACGTTTGCTGCGCCGGTTCACGTGTGTTTGTGCAGGAATCGATCCTCGACACCGTTACCCAGAAACTCAATGATCGTCTCGCATCACTCCGCGTAGGTGATCCGCTCGATAAGAACACCGATCTCGGAGCGATCAACTCCAGCGAGCAGCTTGGGACGATCAACAAGTACCTCGACATCGGAGGCAACGAGGGCGCGGTTCGGCACGATCCGAATCCGAGTGCGGTCCCTGAGAAGGGGTACTGGTGCAAGCCTTGCTTCTTTACTGGAGTGCAGCCGAGCCACACGATTGCGCGTGAGGAAATCTTTGGTCCTGTGCTCGCGGTCATGAGTTTCCGCACTCCGGACGAAGCGATCTCGCGTGCGAACAACACGCCGTATGGACTCGCGGCTGGCGTCTGGACAGACAAGGGATCGAAGATCTTTGATATGGCAAGCAAGCTCGACGCTGGTGTGGTGTGGTTGAACACCTACAACCAGTTCGATCCGACCTCGCCGTTCGGTGGTTACAAGGAATCAGGGTTTGGTCGTGAAGGTGGGCGACACGGACTCGCGGCTTATTTGAAATGATCAGAAGGGACACACGATGAACACAGTGCCTGGAGTGCATTCATTTGAGATCAGAGACCTCACCCCAGAGGACAAACACTGGGTGCAGCGCGTTCTGCAGCAGTATTGGGCATCCACTGAGCAGGTCACACGCGGACGCAAGTTTCAAGCGGACGAACTCCCTGGAATTGTCGCGGTGCGTGATGGTGCAGAGGTCGGGCTTTTGACCTATCACATCGATGGCGATGAGTGCGAGATCGTCACCCACAACTCAATGGCGGGACACGGCGGGATCGGATCGTGCTTGCTCAATGGTGTTCGCAACAAAGCTCGCGAACTGAGTTGCAAACGACTCTGGCTCGTCACCACAAACGACAACACTCCGGCTTTGCGGTTCTATCAACGCCGAGACTTTGATATCGTTGCGTTCCACAGGAATGCTGTCAGCGAGAGCAGAGCACTCAAGCCGACTATTCCGGATGTCGGATTTGACGGCATCCCGATTCGTCATGAGATCGAGATGGAGTACGAGCTGTGAGTGAACGAATGCCGATCACAAAGACCTACAAGCTCTACATCGGAGGGAAGTTCCCACGCACCGAATCTGGACGCTCCACGCTTGTGGAGGACGCTTCGATCGGTTTGAGTGCGCATGTGTGCCATGCATCACGCAAAGATCTCCGCAATGCGGTTGAAGCGGCGAACGCAGCTCAGACTAAGTGGGCAGATTCAACCGGATACCTGCGAGGACAGATCCTCTATCGACTCGCGGAGATGATGGAAGGCAAGCGTCACGAACTTGCTGCCGTCTTGGGTGACGGCGGCATGGATGAAGTCGACGCGTCGATCGATCGTGTCGTGCACTTTGCGGGATGGACTGACAAGTACTCCTCCGTCATGGGTGGCGCCAATCCAGTGAGTGGTCCATACCACAACTTCACGATCCCTGGCGCGATGGGTGTCGTGGGTTGCATCGCTCCCGATTCTCCTGCACTACTCGGACTGATCTCGATGATTGCGGGTCCTATCGCGATGGGGAACACCGTGGTCGCGCTTGCGAGTGAAACCAATCCGATCCCCGCGATGATTCTTGCTGAAGCGATGGCTACGAGTGATCTGCCTGGTGGTGTGGTGAATCTACTCACTGGATTCCGTGACGAGTTGGTCCCCTACTACTCTGGACATCGCGAGATCATCGCGATCCACGCGGGAGGAGTCAGCGACGCTCAGAGAGCAGAGCTCCGCGAAGGAGCTGCGGTGAATATGAAACGCGTGACGATCCGTGAGCACGATCTCGACTACTCAGATGACAGTATTTGCAGTGGTCCGGATTGGCTCGATCCGTTCGTCGAGTTCAAGACGATCTGGCACCCAAGCGCCGTCTAATCAGCGTGCCGCGACAGCGGGGCCAGTTTTCAGCGACTCATCGAGTTCAAGTCTCGGCTCGACCTTGGTCTGATTCGCTGTCCATACAATCTCAAGCGTGATGTCAAACAGCTTCGCGATCGCGTTGAGCTGTCGCTCGATCGCATCGCGTGCTTGATGGATGTATCGCTCATCATTCTTCTCGAACAACTCCGCGGCTTGATCCTGAGCCGTCCGCATCAACTCGTTCTGACGCTGCGCGTTCATATTGATGACATCGATCAGTCCGAGCACACGCCCCTGCTGGATGTCATACGGCTCCACATCCATCAGACGCAGTGATCCCACAATTGGGGGGAGGTCGATGCGATAGTGTCCGCCACCAAGATCGGTGACATCGGATTCGTCGATGACACCAAGCTCGATCGCGTATTGCTTCTCGAACTGGAAGATCATCGCGATCTTCGCTTGGGAGAGCAGGATTGGGGGAAGCCAGGAGAAACCTGAAGTCGCGGTCGCGATCTCCTTCGCGTGGACCTCAAGACCAACGAGCTTGCCCACGGCTCGGACGCGCTCGGTGATGATCTTGAGCGAGACCTTGTCGATGTCCTTGCCCGCACGAGCACGCTTGAGCGATGAGAGGAGATAGAAAACCACGCCGGCACCAATGATGGCGGCGAAGGTCAACGCGATGATGAGCAGTATGAGATCGTTCATGCAAGTGTTGTTGGGTTTGAGCGAGAGACTCTTTTGAATATACGAAGCACAATCCCTCTCCGTTTACTCAAAACGGGCTTTGGGAAGCAAAAATCGAGGTTATCCGGACTTTCGATTGAGCTTTGTGCACTCAGGAATGATTCTCGAGGTGCTCAGGACGCCCGCATTCATAGGCGCGGATCAGGAGGTGTCCAGCCGCGGATACGAGGATAATGAAGAACAACCCCAGTGTGATCGAGAGTACGGCGGAGGTTGCCCCTGTCCCGGCTGGAGTGTTGAGCACATTATTGATCCACGCGCCTGGACCGATGTCGAATCGCATCAAAGCGAACGCCGCGATTACAGGCGCGATACACAGTGCCGATTTGATGATGAATGGGAAAGCAGCCTTGTTTCGTATGAAAACCGCGATCGACGCGAAGAGGAAGAATCCTGCGATTGCTGCGAGCCTTCCGAGCAGTGTGTACTTCGCAAGCGGCGCCAGACTCGGGAAATCCGTCTGTTTCGCCATGATAAATCCGACATAGAGACCGAACACCAGTGCCACAAGCACGGCTCCAGAAATCGCTGTGACACCGATCGCCCAGCCTGATTGGAACTTCCCCATTGCGAGCAAGATCGCATAGATCCCTGCGAGCATGGTGATCAACTCGAATCCCATGAGTCCCCAGTCGAATCCACCGAAATGGTTGAGCGAGAAGTATGCCCATGGTGCTGCCGAAGCCGCGATGAGGACGCCGAGGATGCCAACGCCGATTCGGCACAGCATCGGGGGTTCAGGGAGCACATACGAGTCATTCACAGATTGGGTATCAGATGCATTCACGATGATGATTATCGCCTTGATCGAGGTCTGGATCGAAGAAAATGAGAGATTCTCGGATGTTTGTTCAGATTCAGCACTCGATATGGGGGTGCAGGATCTGCGCCGGATCCGGCGATTTGAGCACAGTTGGCGCGTGGATTGCCCGATGTGACAAGTTGTGGTCCAGAAACGCTTTGGGGATATGCGACAAGCAGGCGGATGATCGAGTTGCTCGATTGAAACCGCCGATACTGGACAGAGAACCGGCTCATGGACGAGCCGGAGATGTGTGCGCGATCAACACAGCATCGCTCACAGAAAGGAATCGCTATGGGCGGCATTACCACTGGTGTCGGACTGTTCTCAGGGATTGATACAAGCTCGCTCATCGAGCAGCTCTTGTCTATTGAAGCGCGGCCCAAAGCACTAGCGCAGACCCGACTTATTCAGCTGCAGAGCCAACAAGCGGCGTATCTAGATCTCAACTCGCGCATGAGCGCCCTTGAGAATCTCGCGAAAGCGTTCCGTACGGACAACATCTTCAAGAACAAGCAAGCGGTCGTGTCCAACGACGCGATCCTCACCGCAAACGCTTCACAGGATGCCCTCCCTGGCACTTACGATTTCGTGGTCGATCGATTGGTCTCGACTCAACAAATGCTCACACGCGGGTTCGCAACAAGCGACGCCGCGGCGGGTTTGTCGTCGCTGACCTTCGAGGGTGCTGAGGCGCGTCTTGATCGTGATACTGAACTCGCGAACCTGAACAATGGTGATGGGATCACGCGCGGGAAGATCATTATCAACAACGGTACAAGCAATGTTGAAGTTGACCTCTCGCGTGCGGGTACAGTCAACGAGGTCCTCGATGCAATCAACGAGGTCTCTGGTGTCAGCGCTCGCGTCGAGAACGACAAGTTTGTCATTGACGGCGTGACTTCAATCTCCAATGCCGACGGGCGCGATGTCCTCGAATCGCTCGGACTCGATGGAGATATTGTCGGAAACACACTCACAGGATCTTCGGTCTACACACTCGGAACAAACACGCCGCTCAACTCCCTGAATGATGGGCGCGGCGTGGGTGTACGGAATACTTCAGGTGAAGGGGTCTGGGACTTCTCAATCACTCTGGATGACAATGATCCATTCCCCGATTTCATCTTTGATTCCAACGACACAACACTCCAGATCCGTCTGGGTGACATCGAAGAACTGGTGGACGACGAACTCACTGTGACCAGCAGCGCAGTCACCACCGTGGGTGGAGTGGTTGATCGGATCAATCAAGCAATCGAAGATGCTGGACTGGATGGCGAACTCTCTGCGTCGATCAATGCTGCTACCGGCGGCATTGATATCGTCGATTCGATGGGCCGCGCAATGCTCATCGAGGACAACGCGCCCGCATCCGGTTCACAGAGCACCGCTGCACAAGACCTCGGGATTGCCGGGACTTTCATTGGAGGGAGCAGCAACGGCGATCGCATCCTCGCAGGAATGAACACCACACTTGTTTCCAGCCTCAACGGCGGAAACGGGATCGCAGGCACAGACGGAGTGATCGATTTCACGACTGCGAATGGCACCAACTTTAATCTGAATGTTTCTGCTGCACAGGATGTCAACGATCTGATCAACCTGATCAATAACGACGTGAACAATGATGATGGATTTGGAAATCAAGTCATCACGGTCTCTCTGAATGATGCCGGTAATGGACTGTCAATCGTGGACAACACGACCGGCGGCGGAACATTGACCATCTCAGGGACCGGCGGGGTCGATACCGCCGCGGCTTTGGGAATTGATGGATCGTTCACCAGCGGCGTCGCGAGCGGCAACGACCTTGACCTCGCGTACTTCGGGACTGCGACCACGCTCGATTCGCTCTACGACGGCGATGGGATCGGGACCGGTTCATTCGAGATCATTGACGGCGACAACAACAGAGCCGAGATCAGCATCTCATCGAGCGACAAGACACTCGCGGATGTCATCCGTCGCATCAATCAATCTTCAGCGGTCGATGTCACCGCACGCATCAACGACACGGGTGACGGGATCATCATCGAGGACAATACCGCCGGCGCGGGACTGCTTGAGATCAATGACACCGATGGGACGGTTGCCTCGAAGCTGAGGTTCGCTGGAAAGATCACTGACGATGATTATGCCGCAGGAAACCGATTCCTCGATGGATCGTTCGAGACCAATATTGAACTCGATCCCAACGACTCGCTCGAAGAGGTGATCAGCGCGATCAACTCCTCCGACGCCGGGATCAGCGCTTCGCTGCTCAATACTGGATCAGGATCAGCGCCGTTCCGCATCTCGCTCGCTTCGGAAGACACTGGGAGTGCAGGACGCTTCATCGTGGATTCGGGAGGTTTCGATCTCGGACTGAGCACGATCGACGAAGGGAACGACTCTCGAGTGTTCTACGGATCGACGAATCCAGCAGACGGGATCCTCATCCGATCATCAAGCAACCAACTCGACGGCGTCATCCAGGGAGTCACGATTGATCTGCTCTCAACGAGTGATGAATCGGTCGAGATTGCGATCTCCGAAGATACCGAATCCATCGAGGGCAAAATCCAAGAGTTCGTTGATGCGTTTAACGAAGCGGTCGAGCAGATCGATTTCCAGACTCGATACGATCAGGAAACCGAAGCACGCGGAACGCTACTTGGTGACGGCACAGTCATCGGACTGCGGAACTCCATGTTCTCAGCGCTCCAGCGCACCAATGATGGGTTCACTTCCGAGTTCAGTCGATTGAGTGAGGTTGGGATTACAGTGGGTTCGGGATCGACACTCGAGTTTGACGCCGAGAAGTTCAGACAGGCATACGCGGACGATCCTCAAGCTGTTGAAGATCTCTTCACTCGCCGAACGATTGAAACGAGCAATGACGACGACGAGGATTCCACCTTCCTCAATCCGGACACGGAGATCGAGTACTCCGAACGCGGCGTCATGGTGCTTTTCGAAGAGTTCGCAAACCGCTACACCGATTCATTAACAGGTATTTTGAGCGGTCGTGATGATGCTTACGATGATCAGATCGCTCTGCAAGAATCTCGGATTGAAACCATCGACGCACGGCTCGAAGCACGACGCGAAGTCCTTACACGCCAGTTCCTTGCGATGGAGCAGGCGATCGCGAGCTTCCAGACACAAGGATCGGCGCTCTCGCAGATCTCAGCGATTGGCTGAACCAATGGTCAGTTTGACTGAAGTGAGTACTTGACAGGACCGATAGCCCGAGCATGAACGACACCGCAACACAGACCGGACAACACTCGGCATCAGGAAACGGCGCTCAGAATATCAACGCGTATCTGCGTACGAAGGTCATGACCGCGAGTCCAGAGGAACTCCGGATGCTGCTGCTCGATGGGGCACTCCGCTTTGCAAACATGGCCAAGGACGGCATGGAGCAGAAAGACTACGAGAAAATCTACGAGGGTTTCACGAACTGTAGAAACATTGTTCTCGAACTCTCCAACTCGATCAATCCTGGTCCCGATCCCGAGCTCGCACAAAATGTGCGTGGGATCTTCATCTTCATCTACGGCGAACTGGTCAAAGCAAGCATCGAGAAAGATCTTGAGAAGCTCAAGAAATCCATCGAACTGCTTGAGTATGAACGCGAGACTTGGGCGCAGCTCATGGAAAAACTCGCTGAAGATCGTAAAGCCGGGATTGTTCCCGATGCTCCTGCTCCACCAAGCGCGGACACTCCGTCATTGAGTATTCAAGCGTGAGCGTGTGACGCAACGATCGAGCCGCGTGTGGGATCAGAGAGTCCCGCCGCGAGGTGATCCATCACAAATCGAAGCTGGACATTGGTGTTGAGCTCCTGCTGTGCTCTTGCGACCATATCAATCGCGTGAAGTGCTTGAGGCGCTTTGCTTGGATTGGTCAGTTGCGATCGAGCGCGATTTGCGATCAGCCCGAGCATGTGTGAAACCCCGAGCTGATTCGCGACGAGCTTGGATCTGTTCTCGTTGAGCTTGTCGCCTTGCTTAACCCAGTCCTTCGCCCAATCGTCCACGAGCTGTGCCATCCGAGGTCCGAGCGTGAGCGGATACTGTGAGCGATCGCACTGCTGGAATAGTGGCTCGAGCTCGGTTGCCCACGCAAAGACCCCTGCTTCATGCGCGGCTTGATACCTGCCTGGAGACCCATTGCATGAGGACAGCAACCACTGATGCTCCTCAGGAGTGGTCTGAATGTCAGTCGTCGCGATCCACGCGCGCATTGCGTCATCATCAAGCGGCACAAACGCGACGCGCTGACAACGCGAACGGATCGTCGGGAGCAACCGATCTTCGTTTGAGGTCACCAAGAGAATGACAGTGCCAGGGGGTGGTTCTTCGAGTGTCTTGAGGATGGCGTTCTGGGTGGTGTTGTTCAGCAACTCGCTCTCATCGACGATGAACACCTTCGAGGCAATCGAGTTGGTGTTTGAAGCGGACGCGAGCGCGACGGGATTGATCAGGTGTTCTTCAACGATTGCTTTGGGAATAGTCGCGAGCTTTGCGTTGCGGATGTTCGCGTCTTTGTGGAATCGCGCCATCTCCTTGCGGATGACATGCAGATCGGGGTGAGTGCCCGCTTGGATCAGATGTAGACTCGAGGATTGCGGATCCGGAGCGATCGTCCCTGATAAATCTGGTGCTGAGGTGGGATCCAAGATTGTGCTCGCCCACGCGAGTGCGGCGGTGAACTTCCCCACTCCTGTAGGGCCGTGGAAGATCCATGCGTGATGCACGCGTCCAGATTGCATCGAACGATTCAGCACATCCTGAGCGTGGGATTGACCAATCACGCTTGAGAGTGGAATCGGGGTCGGATAGCTCGGGATCGATGCGTTGACATCCTGTGGGATGCGCTGTGTCTTGGGCTTTTTCTTGGATGTGCGTTGAGCCATGCACCAGAAGGATAGGAGCTCAGCTCGATCGACGGCGGCGGGTTGCGACGATCATCCCCCCACTCAGCGCCAGCAATCCAGATGGTGCTGGGATGACGGAGTTGATCCAGTCGGTGTACGCACTGACGCGTGTGTACGCGGACATGTCGCCGTAATCACCATCTGGATCGCCATCAGTCGAGTTGACGAACGAGGTCACACCCGCGAGGTAGTACTGTCCGTCTTCCATGATGAACAGCGCCCCTCCGGAATCTCCGGATGCGACCTGGTATTCGAGGTCTGTGGGGATCACGGAGCCGTAGGTGGATTCATCAGCCATTGTCGGATGATCGAAATCGGTCAGCAGAATGCGCGGATCGAATCCACGATCATCACCAAACGCGTCGATCATGTTGGTCCCGGCTCGCTTGATCCCGCCGGTCCCGATCTGACTGCCACTGATCCCGTTGCCACCCAATCCGTACCCAACACCTGTACCCAAAGCGCCGAGCTCGTTGGATCCTGTGTACAGCATCGCGGGCTGGACATTGAGGATTGGGGTTGAGATTCGAACGAGTGCGAGATCACCGCCTTGCGTGAGATCACCCGTCCATTCTGGATTGATCACAACCTGATCAACGACCCCGAACGAGCCGTTCGCGTTCGCGAACGCGATCGGATTCTCGACTCCTTCAAAGCAATGCGCCGCCGTCAGGATCCACTGGGAGTTGAGCAGAGTCCCTGAGCATGTTCGAGAGATCCCTGGAGCACTGATCGAGAGACTCGCGACAGACTGGAACTGGGATTCGTTTGCAAGCGACTGGTAGAGCGCATCGGCGCGATCGTGTCGGCGGACGCCTGCCGTCGCGGCGGATCCCACCGCTGCGAGCACGAGCATGATTGATATGGAGCGATGGTTCAGCATGGCACGAATCCGTTCTGCAGTTGTCGCACGACAAGCGGCTCGATCCGCATGGTCGCTGTGTCTAAGAGACACCCGAATGCTGCTCTGTGCAAATGAACTGCGTGTTTTGTTGCATTCTCGGACGGAATTGAGGTCTTCTGGTGGGTGTTTGGGCGGGGATATTGACCACGAGCGCGTACTATGTGGACACCCTCTGCTGGAGCGTTGGCTGAGGGTGAGTTTGTTTCGACCTCTGAATGGAATCGAAGTATGTCGAGTGCATTGACCACCGCGAGCGCGGCTCAGATCAGATCACAGTTCATCGAGTTCTTCAAAGAACGAGGACACACCTTCGTGCCCTCATCCACCACCTGTCCGACGAACGATCCGTCGCTGCGCGATACCTTCGCCAACGCAGGGATGAACCAGTTCAAGCCGATCTTCCAAGGGACTCTCGATCCGACCTCGCCGCTGCATGGGATCAAGCGTGCTGCGAACTCGCAGAAGTGCATCCGCGCCGGAGGCAAGCACAACGACCTCGATGATGTGGGCAAGGACACCTACCACCACACATTCTTCGAGATGCTTGGGAACTGGTCCTTCGGAGACTACTTCAAAGAGGAAGCGATCGGATGGTCGTTCGAGCTGCTGACCAAGGTCTGGGGGATCGATCCCGATCGTCTCTACGCGACCTACTTCGAGGGCAATCCCGACCAGGACCTCCCGGCTGACCTAGAAACCAAAGCGATCTGGGCGAAGTACCTCCCAGAAGACCACATCCTCCCCGGCAACATGAAGGACAACTTCTGGGAGATGGGTGACACGGGACCTTGCGGGCCTTGCTCTGAGCTGCACTACGACCGCATCGGAGGACGCAACGCACGCGATCTCGTGAATCAGGACGATCCCGATGTGCTGGAGATCTGGAACAATGTGTTCATCCAGTTCGATCGTCTCGAAGGCGGCGAGCTCCGCACACTCCCGGCACAGCATGTCGATACCGGCATGGGACTCGAACGCATCGTGTCGGTCTTGAAGGATGTGCGGAGCAACTACGACACGGACCTGTTTGAGCCGTTGTTTGCGAAGATCCAGAAGCTGACCGGCGCTCGTGCGTACAACGGCAAGCTCGGCGCTGAAGACAAGTGCGGTGTGGACGAGGCGTACCGCGTTATCGCGGACCACATCCGCACGCTCGTCATCGCGATCACCGACGGCACCGCGCCGAGTAACGAAGGGCGTGGGTATGTGCTCCGCCGGATCTTGCGTCGCGCGGTTCGCTACGGGCGTCAGAAACTCAACGCACCGCAGGGATTCATGACCGACCTCGCCCCCACTGTGGTTGAGATGCTGGGTGATGCGTTCCCGGAACTGAAGAACGATCCCAAGCGTGTGTACGAGATTATCGCGGATGAAGAAGAGAGCTTCGGAAAGACGCTCGATCGCGGGATCAAGATGTTCGACGACCTCGACAACGAGGGCGGGAAAGTCTCAGGCGACGACGCGTTCAAGCTCTACGACACCTACGGCTTCCCGATCGACCTCACCGAAATCATGGCGCACGAACGCGGACTCAAGGTCGATCTCGACGGATTCGAGCGTGCGATGGAAGAAGCGAAGGAACGCTCGCGACAAGGTGGCAAGAAAGACGACGGCGAGCGCGTTGTCGAGCTCCGCGCGGAACAGATCGCCAAACTCGGCGCGATGAATGTCAAAGCGACCGACGACTCAGGAAAGTTCGATGGACGCGAGATGCGTGGACTCATCAAAGCGATCTGGAACACCAAGAACTTCGACGAGCACGCGGACACAACGACCGCTGGGATGCACCGCGTCGGGATCGTGCTCGACAAGACCAACTTCTACGCGGAGATGGGCGGTCAAGTCGCGGATACCGGAGAGCTCCGCTGCACCAAAACCGGCGCGATCTTCAAGGTCGAGGACACCAAGAGCTTCGGTGGCTATGTCCTGCACATCGGACGCGTCAGCAAGGGCAAGATCTCCTGCGGCGATGATGTCGTCTGTCACCTCAACGCAACGCGGCGCGAGCAGATCGCGAGCAACCACACCGCGACGCACCTGCTCAACTTCGCGCTGCGTGAAGTGCTCGGAGACAGTGTCGATCAGCGTGGATCGCTCGTCAACGACGAGAAGCTCCGCTTCGATTTCGTGCACAACGCGCCAGTCACACCAGAAGAGATCGCGCAGGTCGAGTCGATCGTGAATCATCAGATCGAGCAGAACCTGACGGTGTACGCGGAGCTGGCACCGCTCAAGCAGGCGCAGGACATCGCGGGGCTGCGTGCCGTGTTTGATGAGACGTATCCCGATCCGGTGCGTGTGGTGTCGATCGGGATCGAGGTCGATCAGCTCATCGGGAATCCGAGCAACGACGCGTGGAAATCCGCATCGATCGAGTTCTGCGGCGGGACGCACCTGGAAACCACTGGAACCGCGAAGAAGTTCGCACTCACTGTCGAGGAAGGCATCGCCAAGGGCATCCGTCGTATCTCTGCGCTGACTGGTGACGCAGCGTTGGAGTCGTGCGCGAAAGCGGATGAACTCGCTCAGCGTGTGGACGCGCTCGATGCGCTGCCGTTCACGAAGCTCAAGGACGCGTTCCAGGAGGTCAGCAACGAGATCGACGCGCTCGAGCTCCCCGCGGCTCGCAAAGCATCGCTGCGTGCATCGCTCGGAGGGGTCGCGAAGAAACTCAAGGAAGCGTCCAAAGCGGCTGCAGCTGAGAAAACCGCGGCCGCTCAAGAACTCGCACAAGGCATCGCATCGGCGGCGCAGGGCACGAGCGAGGACATCGTCATCGCGACGCTCGATCTGGGATCGGATCGCAAGGCGCTCGAGACCGCGGTCAGCACGATCCAGAAAGCCGTCCCGAATAAAGCGGTGATGGTCCTGTCTCCGGATGCGGATTCTGGTCGCGTCGCGGTCATGGCGTCGGTCAGCGAGTTGATGATCGGTCGAGGTCTGAAAGCCGGGGACTGGATCCGCGAGACGACTTCGATCATGGGCGGCAAGGGCGGCGGTCGTCCAAACGCTGCTCAGGGATCAGGGACCGACGTCGGGAAGATCAAGGAAGCCGCCGAGCACGCGCGGACTTGGGCATTCCGTCAGGTGCAAGGCTAACTGGGTGAAATCATGGTCACTCCCCCAGAAATCCCGGAAGAACTTCGGATCCAAGACGATGAGGTGTCCAAGTACCATCCTCCGAGTCCTGAGGAGGAGCGGTCCAATCGCTATCGACAAGCCAAGGCTTGGTCGATTGCCCTGAATCCCGTCTATGGCTTGATTGGGATGGGCGTTGTGGGGTATCTGATCGATGGAGCCGCGGATACTGGGAAGCTCTGGACCATCACCCTCTCCCTCATAGGGCTCGTGGGCGGGTTTTACCTGTTTATCAAGGAAGCGATGAGGCTCAATAACGAGCAGATCCGCTCGTCCAAACGCACTGACGGCGATCCAGATACCTGAGCCGTGTGTAATCACAGCTGAGCAGAACTGGGAGCAGATCTGAATGTGCTCAGAATGTTGTCAGAAACGCGGAAGAATCGTCTGAAATATGGTCTTCAGACTCGCCGATTGGGCGCACGAACGCTATCCTTCTGCCCCCCTGTTGGGTACCGGAACCGAACTTTGAACCAGCTTTCGAGCATGGACTCCATGAGCGACCAGAACACCTCAACCAATCAAGATGCTGTGCGTCTCCCGATCATGAAAATGGCAGGACTCAGCGTGCTCGCGTGCGTCATGATCGGGATCGGTGGAGGCTCCATCGGGATCATCCGGGGCGGAGATATGACCGCTGGTCTGCTCACCATTCCTGCGACACTCGCAGGCGTTCTCGCAACGCTGATGTTACTCAACGGGCTCCCACCTCGTCCCGCAGGAGTTTGGGGCATCCCAGTTCTTGTCGGAACAATGATCCGTGCTGGAATAGTCGGAGCAATCGGTCTCGGTTTGTATCTCATGGTCGAGCCCGTCAAAGAAGTTTATGTACTGACATTGCTCGCATCGGTGCTTGTTGTGCTTGCACTCGATGTCGTCACAGTGATGTCTTTGGTGAAGAACCATACCAATGCAACCATGGAGCCGAGCAATGAACAGCTCGCTCCGGAGGGTCAAGCATGATGTCGAGCGTAACTCTTGCGGCAGGGAATCCTGTACAGCACGTGATCAACCATGCAACAGTGGTCAATGAAGACGGCTGGTGGATCTGGTCCAGTGCTCAGACCAACATGCTGATCAGCGCCGCAATCATGCTGTTTGGTGGTTTGTTCGTAGCCAAAGCAGTCTCAACGGGCCAAGAGTCTGAAGGACACGCTCGCTGGGTGACCGGCAATCGCTTTGCACACATGATCGAAGTGATCTGTGGCTACCTGCGTGAGAACACTGTTCGCCCGCTCATCGGCAAGCGGACAGATGCTTTGATGCCGTTCCTCTGGACACTCTTTTTCTTCATCCTCATCAACAATCTCTTGGGTTTGATCCCGCTTCTCGACCTGCAAAATATCATCGCCGGCAAGATGGCTCCTGAAATGATCGCAGAGCACAAAGCATTCATCGGCGGCACCGCGACCCAGAGCATCTATGTCACCGCTGGACTCGCGATTATCTCAGCAGTGGTCATCAATGGCGCTGGGATCAAGGAACTCGGTCTCGGCGGATACATCAAGCACCTGACCGCAGAAGCCCCGATCTTTGTCTGGCCGATCATCATCCCGATCGAAATCCTCGGCACATTCATCAAGCCAGTCGCGCTTGCGATTCGTTTGTTTGCGAATATGACCGCGGGTCACATCCTCGTTGCTGTGCTACTTGGATTTGCATCGGTAGAGGGTGGTTTCTTTAGTGGCAACTTGATGAAAGGGATCCCAGTAGGGATCGTCTCATCTCTTGGCGTAATCGCGATCTACTTCCTTGAGTTGTTCGTCGCGTTCTTGCAAGCATTTGTGTTCATGTTCCTGACAACCGTGTTCATCTCGCTCCTTGAGCACCACGGCGATCACGATCATGAGCACGAACATGAATCTGGTCATGCGGGAGCTCCTGCTCACGCGTGAGTCTTTGTACGAATCGGGCCTGGGGCTCCGCGGGGAGTCGCCCAAGGCCATTGTTTGCCTGAGGTGTGTTCCTTGGGTTCAGTGGAGTGCTCCCCGCAATAAAGTGTTTCAGGCCGAGCAGAACTCGGTCGGAGAAAGGAAACTGGAAATGAACCTGATCAAGAACATCGCTCTGGCAACCGCTGCTCTAGCAGTCTTTGGACCAGCTTCGGCAATGGCAGCACCTGATGGAGCAGTCGAAGCAGTCGTTGCTGGCACAACCATCGGTAAGGGACTCGCAGCTATGGGTGCTGGTCTCGCAGTCCTCGGCGGCGGCATCGGCATCGGCCTCGTAGGCAAGGGTGCTCTCGAGTCCATCGCTCGTCAGCCTGAAGCTTCCGGCACCATCGGTACCAACATGATCCTCGCGGCAGCACTCATCGAAGGTGCGACCCTCTTCGCGATCGTTGTTGGCTTCCTCGCCTAAGACGATACAAACTTCCCACAGCGTGTCTGAAACAAGACACGCTGCGGTTTCCAAGATCGAGCACATCGCTCGATTCTTGAACTCAATGGAGATCACGCGATGAATCGACTCGCATTTCTTACCGTCCTGAATGTTCTTGCGTTTGCAACAGCGGTTGCAGAAGCTGCCGAAGCGAATCCTATTGCTGCTCCGAAGGAAGGCATGGCTGCTGGGATCACCGCGATCGTGCTCTTCCTCATTGTGTTCGGCATCACCGCCACCGTCGTTTGGCCGAAGATCGTCAAGGGACTCGACGAACGCAACGAGAAGATCAAGGGCGAGATTGCTGCTGCTGAGTCCGCTCGTCAGCAAGCGAAGGAAGCACTCGACGAGTACGAGAAGAACCTCGCGGAAGCTCGTGCTCAAGCACAGCAGATGCTCGAAGAGACCAAGTCCCAGCAGAACGAGCTCGCCGCTCAGCTCAAGTCCCAAGCGGATGCTGAACTTAGCGAGATGCGTGAGAAAGCAAAAGCGGACATCGAAGCAGCGAAGAAGCAAGCGCTTAACGAGCTCTACAGCGAGTCAGTCAATCTCGCGACCGTTATGGCCGGCAAGATCCTCCAGCGCGAGGTCTCCGTCAACGACGAGCAGCGCCTGATGGAAGAGTCCCTCGCTGAGCTCAAGACTGTCAACAACTAACGCATTGGTGGAGAACGAATCATGCCATTGATTGAATCAAAGCCCGATGCACTCGCGAAGGTCTACGCACACGCGGCGTTTGAGATCGCTGAGTCGACCGACGGCATCACCCCTGAAGACCTGCTCGGAGAACTCGAAGACCTGCTCGAGATCGCTCGCGACGATCGGGGCTTCAATGAGCTGCTCGCAACGCGTCTGATCGATGCGGGTAAGCGTGACGCATCGCTCGTCCGCATGCTCGAAGGGAAATGCTCGACACTCACAGTGAACTTCCTGCGTCAGCTCAACGCGAAGGGCCGCCTGGGACACATCGTCCCGATCGTTGGCGCGCTCGACGAGCTTGTCCAAGCACGCTTCGGTCGCATCGAGGTCGATGTCTTCACGGCTTCCCCGATGTCCCCAGAAGCACTCGACGGCGTCAAGCACAAGCTCAGCGAATCGCTCGGCAAAGAGGTCATCATGCACCCCTACACCGACTCGACCATGCTCGGCGGCATCAAGATCCGCATGGGCGACCAGCTCATCGACGCATCGGTCCAAGCGGACCTCCGTTCCCTGCGTGACAACTTGCTCCGCAACGGCGGTGCTCGCGTGCGAGGCAACTCTAACGAGATGCTCGACAACTGAGAGCGATCAGCAGAATCCATGAAAGCCGTGATCGAAAGATCATGGCTTTTTTTGTTTTCCCCCCCACACTCCCTAGAATGGATCACACAAGCAAAAACCACTCTCAGGAGGTTGTAGATATGGCGAAGAAATCGATCGAGAACACACTGGTTGCTGGTCAGAAGGTCCTGATCCGAGTGGACTTTAATGTCCCGCTCGATGGGGACCAGATCACCGATGATCGTCGTATCCAAGCCGCGCTCCCGACCATCCGATCCGTCATTGATCGTGGTGGTCGTGCGATCCTCATGTCACACCTGGGGCGTCCGGAGGGCAAGGGATTCGAATCAAAGTTCTCAATGGCTCCTGTTGCCAAGCGATTGAGCGAACTGCTCGCGAAGGAAGTCACGATTCCTGCTGAGAACTGCAAAGATCCAGCGATCTCTGCTGCAGTCGACGCAATGAACGATGGGGATGTGATCCTCCTTGAAAACCTCCGATTCCACGGCTGTGAAAAGCGCTGCGAAGCAGTATTTGCTGCACAGCTCGCTGGACTTGCTGATGTCTATGTCAACGACGCCTTCGGGACATGCCATCGCGAACATGCTTCGATGACCGGCGTACCAGAAGCAATGGGCAACAAACCAAAGGTCGCGGGATTCCTCGTCGAGAAAGAAATCGCGTACCTCAGCGATGCGCTATCCAACCCAGCCCGCCCCTTCACGGTTATCCTCGGCGGCGCCAAGGTCAGCGACAAGCTCCCTGCGATCGAGCATCTGCTCCCCAAAGCCGACCACATCCTCGTCGGCGGTGCGATGGCATACACATTCCTCCAAGCACTGGGACATGAAGTTGGCAAATCCCGCGTCGAGGACAACATGGTCAAGGACGCGAAGCGGATCATCGAGCTCGCCGCAGAATCCAAGACTGATCTGCACTTCCCAGAGGATCACATCTGCTCGACCATGTTCGCTGAGCAAGCGGGAGATATCGAGGTCTTCGATGATCAGATCAAGGACGGCTTCATGGGTCTTGACATCGGTCCAAAGACCGTCGCTCGCTACACACAGATCATCAAGGACTCCAAAACAGTGATCTGGAACGGCCCGATGGGTGTGTTCGAGTGGATGCCATTTAAGATGGGCACCAAGCTTATCGCTGAAGCCGTGGCAAGCGCGAGCGACAATGGCGCGATCACCATCGTCGGCGGTGGAGATTCCGCCGCGGCAGCGGAAACATTCGGTGTTGCGGATCGCTTGTCCCATGTCTCGACCGGCGGCGGAGCGAGCCTTGAAATGCTCGAGGGCAAGAGCTTCAAAGCGGTCGAACTCTTGGACAACGAGTAATCAGCGCCGATCAAAGAGCTTCTCAAGTTCTTCGATGGTGAGTCGAACAGTTGTCGGCCTGCCGTGGGGACACGACTCGGCGCGGTCGGTGCTATCGCGCAATGCGATGATCTCAGCGAGTTCAGATTCGCTCAGCTTGTCACCCGCTTTGATCGCGGCTTTGCACGCCATCATATCGAGCACCTCATGAAGCGCTTCTTCCTTGGACGGCACAAACCCCTCGTGCTCGACGCGCTCAAAGAGTTCGTCGAGGAACACGCCGGGATCGACATTCCGCGAGAGCAGGAAGCTCGGGACGCTCGACACCCCCACTGACCTGGGACCCATCGGAGCCGCGTCGATGCCGATGCGTTCGAACAGCTCCTGAAGCTCGTCGAACTGATCGATGATCCCCGAACTCACATTGACCACGATCGGGGTCAGCAATCCCTGCTGCTCGAGCGTTCCCGATCCCGTCACTCGGCTGATGAGCTTGTTGAACATCATCCGCTCGTGGAGTGCGTGCTGATCGATGATGAGCACGCCTTGCTCGTCCTGACAGAGCAGATAGCTCGAGTGGACCTGAAGCACCTGGACATTGCTGACGATCGGTGGCAGCAAACGCTCTTCGCTCGCTGGTTGAGTTGGCTGCTCTACAGGCACAGACGGACCAAACGAGGGCAGATCAGGAGAGCGGAGCACCTCAGCGAGGTGCGATCGCAGATCCGCTGGAGAATCGGAAGACTTGGGGTTGGTGTTGAGGTACTCGACGATCCGTTCAACCTGCTGCTCGACGGGCTGCGTCGGCATCGCTTGCGGCATGATCGCCGATGGACCGCCGGCATTGGGGAGACGTGAGAACACGGTCGGGGTCACGTCCGCTTGGGTCAGCGCGTCGCGGATGCCGTGGTAAACGGCTCGGTGGACCATCGACTGATCACGGAAGCGGACCTCGAGCTTCGCGGGATGCACATTGACATCCACAGCACTCGGAGACATCTCGATCATGAGCACCGCCGTCGGATGCCGTCCCGGTTCGATGAGTCCTCTATACGCTTCGCGGATCGCGTGCTGCACTGTGCGATCGCGGATCGTGCGTCCGTTGAGAAAGACATGCTGCGCCTTTGAGGTCGCTCGTGCGATGGATGGGAGACCAACAAGTCCCCACATCAGCACGCCTCGCGCGTTGTCGTACTGATCCACAGAGACCTCAACGAGCTGGGATTCCAGTTCCTTCCCGACGATCGCGAGCGCTCGCTCGCGCGGGGATTGGTTCGGAGGCAGATCGAGCTTGACCTTGTCATCCCCCAAGCAGCGGATGCCGATCGACGGATTCGCCATTGCGAGATCTCTGAGCCATTCCATGCAGCGTGTTTGCTCAGTCGTGGGAGTTCTGAGAAACTTGCGCCGAGCGGGGGTGTTGAAGAATAGATTCCGTACCTCGATGACCGTCCCTACGGGACATCCCGCTGGGGTAGGGTCTTCGATCCGCTCCCCCTCGGCGTGGATCGATCGTCCTTCGTCGTGATCGCGTGTTCTGGAGGTGATCGTAACGCGTGCGACAGAAGTGATGGATGCGAGTGCTTCGCCTCGGAAGCCCATCGTCGCGATGCGATCGAGGTCCTCGGATTCAGAGATTTTGCTCGTCGCGTGCGGCGTAAGCGCGAGCGTCATCTGCTCTGGATCGATCCCGCAACCATTGTCCGTGATCCGGATGAGCTCGATCCCCCCCTGCTGAAGTTCGACGGTGATCTTGGTCGCTCCCGCATCGATAGAGTTCTCGACGAGTTCCTTGAGCACAGACGCTGGACGCTCGATGACTTCCCCCGCCGCGATCTGGTTCACAAGCAGCGGCGGGAGTTTCCGGATGACTGGATGGATCGTCGGAACAGACACGGCGGGATTGTATGCGGATCGGGTCGAGGATTCGGAGCAGATGCACTAGGATGGGGCATGACAGATTCCATCTTTTCCAAAATCATCCGCGGCGAGGTCCCAGCACACAAGATTTATGAGGACGATTTCGTGATTTCGATCCTCGACATCGGACCGTTGTCTGAAGGACACGCACTCGTGATCCCGAAGGAACCCGCTGCGACGATCGACACGCTCTCTGATGAGTTCGCTGCTGCCGTGGGACGAGTGCTACCGAGAATCACTCGAGCGATCCAGAAGGTGACTGGCGCGACAGCAGTGAATATCTTACAGAACAATGGCGCGGACGCTGGACAAGCCGTTGATCATGTGCATTTCCACATCATCCCAAAGTTTACTGGTCGCAATCCAGGAACTGGCCTCATGATCGACTGGATTCCTGGATCGCTCTCGCAAGACGAAGCCCTCGAACTGGGCAAACAGATCAAGCGTCTGCTCTGAGCTCGATCAACCAACAATCCGCGTCTGCGTGACCGGCAGTCGCACAATCCCGCTTTCGGTCAGTAGCTCGATGTGATCAAGCGGATCGATGTGCTTGATCTCTCCGGAGTACGGCTGGTTGTTGTACACCGCTTTGACATGATTCCCGATCAGCGCGTCACGAGCATCCCACGCTGCTCGGACATCCTCTTCGCTTGCTTGTGATAACCAATAGTCCAGAGATTTGGCAAGCGAGCATGCGATCTCGATCCGAGATGACTGAACACCAAGCTGCGACAGTGAAACAGCACGATCTTTGATGATCGGATGGTAATCCGAATCGTTCTGCGTGCAGTTGATCCCGATCCCGATGACGATCGAGTTTGCGGCGTGCTCGATGAGAACCCCTGCGATCTTGCGTTGGATGTTGTTGACACGCACCAGCACATCGTTGGGCCATTTGATCGCGAGTTGATGTCCCGTAGTGTGCTCACGGATCGCATCGAGTGCCGCGAGTCCGCCCCGAGCTGCGAGGTTCGGGTTCGAAAGATCGAAGTATTTGGGTCCGAATGCGAGCGAACAGGGAAGGGTGCATCCCTCCGCGTCATACCAGTTGCTGGCGCGCTGACCTCGTCCCATCCGCTGAATCGACGCGACCACGAGCGTGGGTGGGTGCGACAAATCAAGCCCGACGCACGCCCGAGCCGCGGCATCTTGGGTACTGAGCGTGTCTTCAAACACCAGTGCACGCTCGATGCATGTCCCTTCAATGACTGATTCGAGCTGATCAGGCCAAGTCGTGATCTGCTCAGGACTGTTCACAACGCATCCAATCCAATATCCAGACTCACCGTTTGATGGGTCAAGCCGCCAATCGACATGCGATCAATACCGCTCTGTGCGATCACGCTCGCCGTATCTTCGCTGATCCCCCCCGAAGCTTCGAGCAGCAACGCTTTGTTGCTCTGGTCACGCAGCCTCACCGCTTCGATCATTGTCGCAGGTGACATGTTGTCGAGCAGCACCATATCAACGATGCCTGCATCAAGTTGGAGCACCCACTTGAGTTGGTTGAGTGTGTCCACTTCGACCTGCACGAAACTGAGTTTGTGTTCCCGAGCTTGTACCGATGCGTCTTGGATCCGATCTTTAAACGCTGCTTCATCGAGTCCCGCAAGATGGTTGTCCTTGATGAGCAGCGCATCGTGGAGTCCCATCCGATGACTCACCCCACCACCACATCGCACTGCGTATTTCTCGAACACGCGCAGTCCTGGTGTCGTCTTTCGAGTATCGCAGATCTGCGCGTTGGTGCCTTGTACAAGATCGACAAACTTATATGTCCGCGTCGCGATCCCGCTGAGTCGAGCGACCAGATTTAGGAGTGTGCGTTCGAGCCGAACAATTGCGATGGATGAGCCTTCGAGTCGACCGAGTGCAGTCCCAGTTTCTACTTTGTCCCCATCATGGACTGCTGGTATCCATTCCACAGATTCGGAAGGTCGCACGAAGACTTTGAGAATATCAGGGACGAACTCCAAGCCGGATACTGTCCCACCCTCTCTCATAGCCAGTGAGACACTCGAGGTCTGATCTCGGCTGAACATCAGCTCACCCGTCCAATCATGGGTCGTTGGACCAAGATCCTCGTCGTGTGCGAGTCTGAGCAATCGGTGAATCAGCCCAGAATTCCTCAGATCTGACGCAAGTTCACTCAATCGCAGATCTTGCGACTCTGACAGTGCTGATTCGGGTCCTCCTGACTGGCTCATAGGGAATCGTAGACCTTTGAAACGACCTATCATTGCTCTCGATAGAAGCATCCGATCGAGAAGGCTATAAATCGGATGGAATTGTATGTGAAAGGACCATTTCTATGGGGCTTCTGGATGGTAAGGTCGGATTGGTAGTTGGCGTCGCCAACGATCGCTCCTACGCGTGGCACATCGCGAAAGAAATCTACGCACACGGCGGGACATGCGCTTTCGCACATATTCCTGGCGACAAGAACGCACGCAGAACGCAGAAAGCTGCGGAAAAGATTGTTGACAATCCAGTCCTCTACGAATGCGACGCCGGCTCTGATGAAAATCTTGATGCACTCTTCGAGAACTACGAGAAAGACCACGATCGCATGGATTTCCTCGTCCATTCGATCGCATACGCCGATCGTGAATGGCTCCAGATGGGCATGTTCTCCAAGACACCTCGACAAGCGTACCTTGATGCGATCGACATCTCTTCTTACACACTCGCGGCGATGACCAATCGCGCCAAACCCCTCATGATGAAAAACGGCGGCGGATCGGTCATGGCGATGAGCTACTACGGCTCTGAAAAAGTTGTCCTCGGATACAATGTCATGGGTGTCGCCAAAGCATGTCTTGAAGCGACCACACGCTACCTCGCTGCAGAGCTTGGACAGGACGGAATCCGCGTCAACACCATCTCAGGCGGCTACCTACGCACGCTTGCGAGCTCCGCGGTCGCTGGGACCAATGAACTCGAAGAACTCGCAGCACAGAAAGCACCACTCCGTAGGACTACTGAGGGATCAGATGTCGGGAAGACCGCCGTCTATCTCGCATCTGACCTCTCCAGCGGCGTAACGGGCGAGAACATCTATGTGGACTGCGGCGTCAATATCCTCGGTGCATAAGAAGATCCGGCTGCGATACCCGAACAAAGTATAAAATTTGTGGATCAACTGTGGATTTCGGTGGCGGCGATCGTTGCGCGTTTCCGATAGTAGATATATGACCGGTGCGATCAACAATCTCGCTTCAAGTCTTGCTGGCGCACCAGCTTCCAGCAATGCCGCGTCGCGTAAAAAGCAAGCGGAAGACACGGACAAGGCCCGCAGAAGGGGCCGTGCATTCGATGAATACCTTGCGAGCGTCGAGCATGTCGAGCAACTCGATGCAGTGAGAACACTCGCGGACGCTGATCAAGAAGAAGCGAAGGAAGATCGTCAAGAGCACCAGGTCGGATACAACGCTCAAGGCGGACGACGAGCTTCAAGCGATGATCGTCCCAATCTTGATCTCAATGCATAATCAAGTCCATTGAAAAACGCCTCCTTCTTGGAGGCGTTTGTGATTTTGTGTGTTTGATCTTTACTTGCCGGTGAAGAACTTCTTGATCGAGTGGATCGTCGCGCTGCGTCCGATCGCGGCAATGGACTCTGTCAAAGGGATCCCCTTCGGACATACCTTCACACAGTTCTGTGCGTTCCCGCAGTCTTGGATACCGCCTGGACCGGTGAGTGTGTCCATGCGTTCGTCCTTGAGGCGTTTGCCAGTGCCGTGCTCGTTGAAGAGTCGCGCTTGCGAGATTGCTTGCGGACCGATGAAGCTGGTCTCCCATTGGTCCTCGTGGTCCTTCTTGATGAACTGGGGGCACGCGTCAAGACAGCAGCCACAGGTCATGCACTCGGAGAGCGCGTAGCGCATCTGCTGGTGGTCGTGGTCTTCTTGTGGACCCGCGCCGAGGTTGTAGGTGCCGTCGATCGGGACCCATGCTTTGACGCGTTCGAGCGCGTTGAACATGCGAGTGCGATCAACCCAAAGATCGCGGATGACCGGGAACTTGGTCATAGGTTCGAGGACGACCTCGTCACCTTCACGCGGAGCGTACTCGTCGATAAGGCACGAGCAGGACTGACGCACGCGTCCGTTGATGACCATCGTGCACGCGCCGCAGACTTCTTCAAGACACCCTGAATCCCAGACGACCGGCGTGGTCTCTTTCCCATCGACAGTCACTGGATTGGCAGCGATGTGACGGAGTGAAGAGATCACATTTGATCCCGGCTCTGTGGGGACCTTGAACGATTCCCAGCGCCAGGGCTTGCCTGGACCGTCGCAGCGTTTGATCTTGAAGACCACGCTGCGCCCCTCCACAGCAACGGCGCGGTTCGCCTTGCGTTCTTCGGCTCCGATGATGCTTGCTTGAGCGGCTCCCATGTGTTCGTTCCTTTCGAGGGCGATGGGTAGTAAACAACCAGTGCTGCTGATTATGCGTTCGCTGGTTCAGGGGTCTTGGATTCAGCTTTCTCAGGCGCGGTCTTGCCGTAGGTGCGTGGACGCAGCTTGACCAGACCCGCTTTGACAGGGACGAACTCGATGTCCGACTTCCCGGTGCTTGGATTAAACTTGGCAACCGATGCCTTCCAGAACTTCTCGTCATCACGCTCAGGGAAGTCTGTGCGGTAGTGGCTGCCTCTGGACTCTTCACGCAGCAGTCCCGCTTTGGCGATCGCTTCAGCGAGGATGAGCATGTCCCCCACTGTTCGCGTGAAGCTGAGCGATTGGTTCGTCCACATCGCGCCGTCGCCGAGCTGGACATTCTTGTAACGCTCGGAGAGTTCGTCGATCTTGTCGAGACACTTCTGGAGTCCTTCAGCGGTTTTGACCACCGTGGACTGATTGTTCATGATCTCGCCAAGTTCAAATGCGATCTGGTATGGGTTATTTTCTTTGTTGCCGTTGTTGTTGGTTGTCGTTGCGAGCAGCGCGTCGTGCTTGTCCTGCTCCTGCTTCACGGCGTTGTCATACACCGCTTGGTCGACTTCCGAAACCGCAGCGTGATTCTCGTCGCGGATGTAGTTGACGACTGAAACTCCATTACAAAGACCATCAAAGATACAACTCAGCAACGCATTGGCACCAAGTCGCGTGGCGCCGTGGTACGCAAAGTTGACCTCCCCAAACGCGTAGAGACCTTGGATGTTGGTCATCGCGTTGTTGTGTGCACCGATGGTCAGCCCGTGTCCCTGCTCGTTTCCAACAGGAATCGGATTCCCAGGCTTGTGCTCTGGCATTGGCTGGTCAGGGTTGTAATCCCCCGGCGTGTAGGTCGTCCACAATCCCCCCATCGAGTAGTGGACCGCTGGGAAGATCTTCATCGGAGTGAAGCGTGGGTCTTCCCCGGCGAACTTCTCGTAGATGTCGAGGATGCCGCCGAGTTTTTCCGTGAGGTAGTCGGGGTCCTTGTGGGTCAGGTCGAGGTAGACCTGGTTCTGTCCGTTGATCCCCATGCCGTCGTTGACGCAGACATCGAAGATCTCGCGTGTCGCGATGTCACGAGGGACGAGGTTGCCGTACTTGGGGTAGCGTTCTTCGAGGATGTAGTAGCGCTCGTTTTCTGGGATGTCGTTGGGCTTGCGAGTGTCGCCCTTCTTCGCGGGGACCCAGACGCGACCACCTTCGCCGCGTGCGGACTCGGACATGAGTCGGCACTTGTCGGCGCCAGGGATCGCGGTTGGGTGGACCTGGATCATCTCAGGATTGCCGTACCACGCTCCCGCTTGGTAGCAGCGCGACGCGGCACCACCTGTGCAGATGACGGAGTTGGTGGACTTGCCGAACACCAAGCCGCACCCGCCGGTCGCCATCACGACGGCATCGGCGCGGAAGCTGCGGATCTGCATCGTCCGCATGTCCTGAGCAACAATGCCCACAGCTCGCTTGTCCTCACCCTCGCCTTGTGTAATGGGGTAGAGGAACTCCCAATAGTTGTACTCCGTGACCTTACCCTCGCTGACGAAACGTCGGTTCTGCTCGTCGAGTGCGTAGAGGAGCTGCTGACCAGTCGTCGCGCCTGAGAAGTGGGTCCGCTTAAAGAGCGATCCACCAAAGAGGCGCAGATCGCGGTAGCCCTCGCTTGAGCGGTTGAACGGGACACCCATGCGATCGAGCAGGTCGATGATCTTGGGCGCCCAGTTGGTCATCTCGAGGACGGGGTGCTGGTCGTTGAGGAAGTCGCCTCCTATGAGGGTCTCGTCGAAGTGCTGGTATTCGGAGTACCCCTGCTGACGCGCGACCTCGTTGCATGCGTTGATGCCGCCCTGGGCGCACACGGAGTGCGAGCGTTTGACAGGGACCATGGAGAAGAGATCGACGGGCACGCCCGCTTCGGCGATGCGGATCGACGCGGCTAGCCCGGCCAATCCACCCCCGACGACGATGACTCTTTGTTCGCTCATTTGGTTTCCTCGATTCGTCTCTGTTCAATCAACGATTCAGTCGTAGTTTGTCTTGATCAGCCTTCTGGATCTACTTCTGCTGTCTGGAGTGTGTGCTCTTGGCTCTGAGTATGCAGATCAAGCTGCTCATCTGGGAGCTCGTGCGAGCCGTGCAACGAAGCTTCGATCACCTGCGCCTCGTCGTAGTCAATCATCATCGCACCTGCCAGTGCCCCCCATGACGCCAGCATGAGTCCAATACCGAGTCCGGCACAGACATAACCCCATTTCTTCTGTGCGTGCTCAGAAACGGTCAAACCCCATGTGATCGCTGCTGTCCACAAGCCATTAGCGAAGTGGAAGACGAGCAACGAAACACCAACGAAGTAGAACAGTGAGACGATGAGTCCCGCAGCGGTCCAGCCCTCAGTGGACCCTTGCAATGCTGCAGCAAGAGTTGATGCACTAAAGTCGTGCGACCATTTCGTTCCATTGGGCACAAGGAAGGTCCATCCCCAGCGGAGGGTCGCAACATGGTAGAAAATGAACGCGATCCCAAAGTATCCCGAGAGACGCTGGAGCGTGTAGCGGAAGTTGTCCTGATGCTTGTAGCGAGGAAGATTCCCTTGACCGCCGATCGCGTAGTAGAACCCAAGGATCGAGTGGAACGCGATCGACAACCAGAGGGTGACCTCGATCAAAAACAGGTGTGGGACCTGTGTGTTGATCCAGGTCACTTCGTGTGCGAAGTATTGCACGCCGCCTTCTGAGACATTGAGTCCTTCAGCGCCGCCTCGCCCCTTGAGAGCGAACCAGCCCCATGCGAGCGAGGAGTTGGTCACAAGATGAGCAATCAGGAAGACCCCGATCGGGAGGATGCCGGTCAACGAATGGAGCCGGCGGATCAGGAACTGGTGTCGTTGCATAAAGCTTTGGTTTGTGCTCACGGTGGAACTCCGGAGGGCTGTGATTCGACTTCAGTTATATATCGGCATTTGAGAACTTAACACGCCACGCGAGTCTTGCGAACTGCTACGCGTCAAGCATCAGGCGTGATTTTCAGATCGGGGGCACCACCCATCGGGTTCCCCTGTCCCATTTGCTCAAGCGTGCCATCTTGCGCTGCTTGAGCTACTGCTTTGGACACCTCAACAAACTGGTGCTGCAACTCAGCGATCGTTTGAGTGATCATCTGGGATTCTTCTTCAGTCAGATTGCCTTTGGTCTTCTCTTCGACGACGCTCAGCAAATCGATGTTCAGGCGCGCCACATCGAGCGAGACCATCGCTCGTCCAGTCTGATCTGGGAAAGCCCCCATGTACATCAGTGCTTGGGTCGCAAGCATCGAGATCAGTTCTTTGAATCCGAGCTTTTCGGGGAGACCCGATTCTGCAGCTTTTTGAGCTTTTTCTTCTTCTTGAGCCGCGAGTTTTGCTTTCTCGGCTTGAGCAGACGACTTCCAGTCGTCATCGACGATAATCTTAGGTTGATCAGAGTCGGTCATTCGATACTTCCTTTATTGTTGGTGTATGCTAGGACATGAAACGGAGTTTGAGGTTGGATTTACGCTTCACAGACAACACATTGCGACCAGAAAATAAGGGGGTCACCCTCCTCCGTTTACTCGTCGCACCCGCATCGATTGGACTCGCGTTCTTGATCGGTTGTAGCGGGCAAAAAATCCAAGGCAACTCACACGAGAATCCAACGGAGATTCGCTTGAGCGATTTCCGTGCAGAGCCTGGCTCCACTTCAACCATTGCCAACAACACTCCATCATCAGAGTCCAACGGAGCTCCTGAGACCCAGTCTCAACCAGATCCAAGCGCGTCTTCGACGACCCAATCGAATCCGATCCGAAATCAGATCACAAGTGGCAGTGACGGGCTCGCATTCGTCGATGCGAAAGTCGGAGACATCAATGGACACCCAATCTATGTCTCCAGCTTCTTTGAGCCGATCGAGGCGCGTCTGATCGCGATCGGGAAGGACACCGAGCTGGTCCGTTGGAGAAACCAAGCGGGCGAGATCATCAACACTCGACTCAACGGCATCATCTACGACGAGCTCCTCCGAGCAGAAACAATCGCAGCACTCACCCCTCAACAACGCGTAGGACTCCAGGCATTCCTCAAAGATTTCCGTTCCAATGTGCTCTCCCAGAACCTCGGCAGTGCTCAACTCGCAAACCGTCGCTACATCGAGGAGCAGGGCATTACGCTTGACGAGGCACTCCGCCAACAAGAACTCGACACGCTTGTAGGTTTGACGCTGTACCAAGAGATCAATCGACGCATCAATATCTCTTGGCGCGATATCAAGCAGCGCTACGAACGCGACATTGATCGGTACCAACCCCCTCCGACGATCACACTGCAGGTGATTCGTGTTCTTGAGCCCGAGGGTGAGCTGGTTGATTCGATTACCGAACGACTCAACGCTGGAGAAGATTTCGCTGAAATCGCGGCATCCCAAACCAACACCTTCAATCGAGACACACAGGGATTGCTCGAGACCGAACTCACCGGCGAGTTTGAAGAAACGGCATTCTTCCAGATCGATGTGCTCAACGAAGCGGTGTATCCGCTCTCGCTCGGCGAATGGGCCGGACCGGTCTCGCTCGGGAACGCGAACTTCTGGATCATGTACGCGGATCGCGTCCAGGAATCCAGAACGCTGTACGAAGCTCAGCTCGAGATCCATCGCGAGCTCACGCAAGAGCGACGAGCCGAGGAACGAAAAGCCTACTTGCAGGACCTCATCGAGCGTGCTCGCGTATCAAGTGCCGAGGAAATCCTGTATCGATTGCTCTACATCGCAGAGAAGCAATACGGACCGACAAGGTGAACGCGATCTCAAAGCTTATCGCACGCATCACCGGATCTTCTGGAGAACAGTCCGTGTGGGTGAGAGGCGAGCACGCCGCGGCTCGACACATGAAACGCAATGGGTATCGGATACTCGCGCACAATCTTCGACTCAAACACGGCGAGATCGATCTGCTCTGCGAAGAACCCAAGTCTCGATGCATCGTGCTCGTCGAGGTCAAGGCGCGTCTCAGACAGGACGACGACACGCGCCAGATCGATCCGGAAGTGAACATCACCGCCGCGAAGAAATCCAAGCTCCGCTCACTCGCGAGCGCCCTGATGAAACAAGAGCAATATCAGAATCGACCGATCCGCATCGATGTGATTGCTGTTGTCTTCGAGAATGGCACCAGCCAACCGATCGAACTTCGGCATTACGAATCAGCGCTGTGAAACTCAGTATGCATCATACTCGAAGGCTTCAGTGATCCACGGAACTTCGCTTCGAGTTTGGTCTCTTCGAGCAGTTCCGGATCGATCTCGGCAGGGATGATGAGCGAGAACATGGATCCCGATCCGATCTGCGATTCCAGTTGGATCTCACCCTGCAGCAAGCGAGTGAGTTCCGAGACGATCGCAAGACCCAATCCAGTGCCGGCATGGACTCTTGTATGTCCAGAATCCACTTGCTGGAACTTGTCGAAAATCCGTTTCTGGTCTTCGGGACTGATCCCCTCGCCGTTGTCGATCACCGAAACACGAAGTCGATCGGTCCCGGATTCATCGTCCGGCAAACGCTCAGCTCGGAGAATAATCTCGCCGGGAGTTCCAGATTCTGTATCACCGGTGAACTTCACAGCATTGGAGAGCAGATTGAAAATGATCTGCTGGAACTTCTTCGCATCTGTTTCAATGAGTGGGATGTCGCTCGGGAGTTCGAGTTTGACCTGGATGTCCTTCTTACGCGCCAAAGGATGGATAAGTCCCACCAGTGCTTGACAGGTGTCCGCGACATTCATCGGCGCGATGTTGAGCTCGACGCGTCCCGCTTCGATCTTCGCCATCTCAAGCAAAGACTCGATCATCTCCAGGAGTGTTCTTCCCGCCGAAACAATATTGACGAGGTACCGCTCGCGTTTAGACATCTCATCGGCATCAAATCCCGGTGAGCCTTCACCATCCTCCGCAGCGATCGCGATCTCCTTGCGGACGATCTCCAGCAAGAGCTCCGCGAATCCGATGATCGCGTTGAGCGGGGTGCGCAACTCATGGGAAACACTCGCGAGGAACTCGCCCTTCAGTCTCGCGGACTCGAACAGCGCCACATTCGCTTGCGCCAGTTCGGAGAGCTTGATATCCATCGCGGCGTTCGCGCCGCGGAGTTGATCTTGCTGGCGCTGGAGCTCTCCGAGCATGAGGTTGATGGTTTCAGCGAGTTCTTCAAACTCGTCACCAGTCGCGATCTTGGATCGAGTATCGAGGTTACCGTCTCGTACTTTTTCTGCGGTCTTCTGGAGTGAGAGCACCGGACGGATGATCAAGCGTTCGGTAATCCACGCGAAGACGACGAGCGCTACGGCGAGGACGACGACTCCAGCCGCGAAGACATAGAGCAGATTGACGACCATCAACCAGCCCGCGCCAGCGGATTTGTGCTCAAGCATGATCACGCCGAGGATCTGTGCGTTCTCGTCGCGGATCACATGCGCGTATCTGTAAAGACGATTCCAGCCGTCCCAGTCCGCATCGAAGTATTCCACTTTGTTCGTTGAACGCTCGAATCGCGTCATCGCACGATCAAGGAACGGTGATTCGCGTCTCTGGATCTCCGCTTGAGCCGGAGTCATGGAGGTGATCACAGCCCCCACGACATCGACCGGTTTCCCGGATTGGGGATGATCGCTCAAACTCCATGTCGCGTAGACCGAGCGTGCGAGTTCCCGTTCTCCTGATCCTACCAAGCCGTTCATCCGAAGCAGTGGAAGCGACAGCGCGATGGTGATAATCAGGGCCGAAGCCGCTCCGAACAGGAGCAAGCACTTGCTCGCGAGCGAGAGGTCCATAAACCAGGCTTTGATGTCATCGATCGTGGTCACTGGATCGAGTGTATCACCAGTTGAGTGCTGGGGTTGGATGATTCTCGTTGGGATTCGGACAGATCCACGCGTACACTCCCTGTCCTATGACGAGCAAATCCGTCTATCTTGAAACCTTTGGATGCCAGATGAATGAACTGGACTCCGAACTCGTCGCCGGCTCCCTCGGCGGGATGGGCTATCGCTTCACCGCAAACGCGGACGAGGCGGACATCGTCCTCTACAACACTTGCTCCGTCCGCGAGCGCGCCGAGCAGAAGGTCTGGTCCCGGCTCGGAGAGATGAAGCATCGCAAAAAAGACCAGCCCGACCTCGTCGTCGGCGTGCTGGGATGCATGGCTGAGCGGGACGGCAAGAACATGATCGCCAAAGCGCCGGTCGTTGACATCATGTGCGGCCCCGCTGAACTCGACAAACTCCCGCAGCTCATCGACAACGCGGTCCGGACCAAAGCATCGCTCATCGAGTTCGATCCCGAGGTCGCGATCCGCAGGTCCGCAAAGCAGGTCGCTTTGCAAGGATCCGCATCGCGCCGATCCTCGACACTCGCCGCCGCTGGAGACTCGCTCGAATCGCTCGATCTGGGACGCATGATCTCTCCGGTCGACTTTGACGGACGACGCTCGGCATATGTCCGCATCACACGCGGCTGCAACAAGTTCTGCACCTACTGCGTCGTCCCCCACACACGCGGCGCCGAGATCCATCGTCCACCCGAGCACATCATCGACGAGATCAAATCACTCGCGGATACCGGCGTGATCGAGATCACGCTGCTCGGACAAACGGTCAACCACTACCGCTTCGAGCATGACTCAGCTGTGAGCGTGGATGGGATCGTCCAGCCGCAAAAGGGACGGACCTACAAGGGGTCGCACAATCGTGATGCGTTCGCGGGAGCGAACACCACGACCTTCGCGGACCTGCTCTACCGGATCCACGAAGAGATCCCGGCGATCCAGCGCCTGCGCTTCGTCACCAGTTATCCCCGAGACTTCGGCGATGACGTGCTGCAGGTCATCCGCGATTGCCCGAGAATCTGCCGATTCATCCATGTCCCTGCGCAAACCGGGTCCAACCGCATGCTCAAGATGATGAATCGTGGTCACGACATCGAGGAGTACTACGAGTTCATCCAGCGCTGCAACGAGTACCTGCATCAGCCTGAGATCGGACGCCCGCTCATGCTTGGGGGCGACATCATCGTCGGATTCCCGACCGAAACCGACGAGGACCACGAGCTGACCAAGCAGCTCCTGATCCGCAGCAGATACAAAAACTGTTTCATCTTCAAATACTCCCCTCGTCCCGGCACCGTCGCGTACGACAAGATCCCAGACGACATCCCCAACGAGATCAAGCGCATCCGCAACAACGAGCTGCTGGACCTGCAGAACGAGATCTCCGACTCCATCGCTCAAGAACAAGTCGGAGGCGAGTTCGATGTCTTCGTCGAGGGACTCAGCCGGCGCGAGCACAAACGACGAGGCACCGACGTCAAGCCCGGCTCAGGGATGGTCGGGATCACCATCGGAGGAGCAGCGCCGCAGATGCAGAGCGCCGTCCTCGACTCCACAGACCACGGCCCAACCGCACAGCTCTCTGGACGCACCGACGGCGACCTCATCGTGTTCTTCGATGTCCCGACTGAGGGCGTCGTCCCGCCGAGCGATTACATCGGGAAGATCGTCAAGGCACGCATCACCAGCGCCGACAAACTCTCGCTCAATGGCGAGCTCGTCTGATCAAGACTCATCCATCCGTTCGCGAGCGCGCTTCTTCGCGGCCATCAGCGAGCTGAGTTCTTCCAAATCCTCTTTGTCCTCCTGTACAATCGTCGGCTTGGCGCTGGGCGCGGGATAGCGACGCAGAACAGGTTCCAGGTCGATCTGCACGCTTGGTTCGGTCCGTTTTGTGCGCTTCGAGAGCCCTTCGAGTTGATCGGCACGAACGGCTCGCGAAACAGCGATTGTTTCCTCACGCGCCTGCGCCACCCAACGATCCCACGCGACTCGTCGTGCTCCCAGATCGAGCAGGAACAGAATCAACCCGAGCACCAACATCCCCCACCACATCGATTCATAACTCGATACCTGAGCGAGTCCCTCGCGAGAGAAGAGATCCGCGGATTGATTGATCGCGAGCACGCGTCCTCCCGATCGTTGTGCGAGATCCTCGAGGACTCTGCGATCAGACTGGAGCGCATCGAACTCGCTCTGATCGTCGATATGCACGGCGCCGATCGTTGGACGGATGGGTTGTCCATCCCGCTTAGGGGTCGCAACGACGACATGATCTCCCGCCGGAGCGCTGTCGAGCTGTGCTTGGTACTGTCCTGGACCAACCTGGATCATCTCGAGCTGCTGCGTTGCGGATCCGTCGGTGAAGACCTTGGTCTGGATATCGAGTCCATCGATCGGAACGCCTTGATCGTCGATCGCAGTGTATGCGATCGCGAGTCCGCCTTGCGATTGATCAATGGACAGCTCCCCCACTCCCGGATCCGCGGCTCTCGCGGTCCATGTCGCAAGATGCCTCCAGAATCGATCAAACGGATCGGATCCGACCCAATCCCCACCCCAGTTGGAGACATTACTTGTGAACACAGCGACGCGCCCAAGCTCGACTTGATGTCCCGCAAGGATCGGCTCGCCTTGCTGACTGACGATCGGGACCATCACGCGTGGATCGTCGCTTTTGAACTCCGTCAGCACTAATCCACTGAGGTTCGGGACCGATCCAGACTCGATCAGCATCGGAGACGCACGCTCAACAACAGCCGGCTGGATCAAACCCTCGCGGATCATTGGTCGACGCAGCACACGCACGGCTTTGAGGAAAATTCGTGGGAGCACGGCCGGATTCACAACTCGGTAGTACACCCCTCCCGAATCCGTCGCGATCATCCGCATCGATTGCTCGTCCGCTTCATCACCGATCGTGATCGTCGAAACTTTGATTCCCAGCGCCCCCAGTTCGTTTGCGATCAACGGGAGCTGCTCAGGATCTTGCGACTCCCCATCGGAGAGCACAACGATGTGCTTGGTTTTGGATTCCACGCTCATCAGTTGATCCCGCGCCATCCGGAGCGCTGGAGCGAGGTTGGTGCCGCCACCCGATCCGATCGCGTTGATCTTCTTCTGGATCACCTCAGGCTCATCGTTCTTCGTGATCGGAACGACCAAGCGTGGGGATCCTGAGAACGCGACGACGCCGACCATGTCGTTGGGATCAAGAACCTCGATCGCGCCGGCGGCGCTGCTGTTCGCAACGGCTTGCTGTGACTGCGATGATCCGAGCACGGGACGCTTCATCGATCCAGACGAGTCGAGGACAAGGACCACCGCCGCGTGTGTGGTCACGACATCGTCCGGGATTTCCAGATCAACTGGCAATAGATCCGCGATCCGCGTTCCATCGGGATCGAGTTCGTTCTCGATCGAAGCGTTCCATCCGCCGGCACCGAGCGCCTCGTATCCGCCGATGAACACCAATCCACCACCGAGCGTGCGTACATAGTCATCGAGTGTTGATTCGATGCCGGGCATCAACGCATCGCGAGGGGTGTTGACCAGCACCACGAGGTCATACGGCTCAAGTCCAAGCAACTCTGTCGGAACCTCAGCAGGAGTCATCGGCTCGATCGACCAACGCGCTGCTTCCAGTGATCGGATCAAGGCGCGAGCTTCGGCGTCGATGTTATTGGAGACGATCAGCGCTCTGCCGTGCTCGCTTGTGAGCGTGAGTGCTGTGGATTCATTGTTGAGTAGATTGCGGTCTGTAATTGGCGCTCCTTGTGCATCAAACTCCGGCTCCCAAACTGCACGCACGCGATGAACACGACCATCACCGACCGGAACTGTCAGCGAGATTGGTTCCGTCCCGCCTTTGAGCGCAATCGGAAGACCTCCGCTCGGCGTGTTCGGATCGAGGTTGACCGTCATCCCATCCACGATGATGCGGAGCGAGCCGTTGGATGGACCGGTCGAGCGGAGCGTCACACGCACGGGCATCAATGAATCGGGCTTGACGCGCGCGGGAACCTCAACAGATTGCACGATCACTTCATTGGTCACCTGATACTCGATCGGGACGACATCGACTGGAGTGTGCATCGCGAGTTGATCGAGTCCACTCGCCGTGGGTACGCCGTCGGAGATGAGGACGATGCGTCCCTTTGAATCCGCAGGGATCAACGACTGCGCTCGGCTCAGCGCCGATGCGAGATCGCTCCCATCACCACTCGGGAGTTCAAACGAGAGATCTCCAAGCATCTCGATCGAGCGAGGAGGCGCGACCAGCGACGGCGCACTGTTGAACGCGATGATCCCAAGTTGATCCTCATCTTGTCGCTCGCTCGATGATCTGAAAAGGAATCCCAGTGATGCATCTGAGATCCTGATCGGGTATCCGTTGTCATCCGTTCCCAGATCCGCGTATCCCTCGATCGATCCGGAGACATCGATCACCGCGATGACGGTCAAACGATCCGTCGTCGTCACACGCTGCAATCCCGCGAGCGCGAGCGCTAAGGATGCGAAGCACGCAAAGCGAGCGCTCACCACGATCGCTCGACGATTGGTTGGAAGTCCTCGGAGCACGGCCCATCCGAGCATCGCCGCGAGCAATCCCGCAAGCAGCACGAGCAACCAGATGGGTTGATCGAGCATGAAACTCATCCGGATGAACTCGATTCTGATCCTGATGGCGCCGGCGCATCGGCACCATCGCTTGAAGGCGCGATCTGCTGAGCTCGCTCATCGAGCTGCTTGAAGTACTTGCGGATCACATCGCGATATCGACGCGGAATGCGTCGGTCATCGACTTTTTCGCGAGCATCTTTCGCGGCATCTCGGAATCGCTGAGCCGTGGATGATCCCGCTGGCGCCTCAGATCGCTCCGCATCGGGGTTGTACCACTCTCCAATCGGAGTTGACTGCTCATCCGCTTGCGACTCTTCATCCGAG